GGCTCCATAAAAGTCCTGAGACTTTCCAGGTGGGGGTGAGCACATGGAGTGGTGGGGACAGTGAAGCCCAAGCCCTTCCGCCTGGATGCTCACCTGTACCCTCTATCACATTGTTTTTTAAAAATGCATATTTCAGCCCTAACTGGTTTGGCTCAGTTGCTAGAGTGTCACTCTGTAGACTGGAGGGTCCTAGGTTTGATTCCAGTCGAGGGCATGTAACTTGGTTGCGGGCACATCCCCAGTAGGAGGTGTGCAGGAGGCAGCTGATCGATGTTTCTCTCTCATTGATGTTTCTGACTTTTTATCCCTCTCCCTTCCTCTCTGTAAAAAAAATTCAATAAAATATATATTTTTAGCCGAAACTGGTTTGGCTCAATGGATAGATTGTCGGCTTGGGGACTGAAGGGTCCCGGTTCGATTCCGGTCAGGGGCATGTACCTTGCTTGCGGGCACATCCCCAGTAGGGGGTGTGCAAGAGGCAGCTGATGGATGACTCTCTCATCGATGTTTCTAACTCTATCTCTCTCCCTTCTTCTCTACAAAATCAATAAAATATATTTTAAAAAAATAAATAAATATAAAAATAAAGATGCCCAGTAAGCCTGCTGAGGCTTTCATCTGTTCTGTAAAAAAAAAAAATAATAAACAAACAAATACAATTTTATATATATATATTTTACTACATATTTCAGCCCTGACTGGTTTGGCACAGTGGATTGAGTGTCGGCCTGCAGACTCAAGAGTCCCAGTTTCGATTCTGGTCAAGGGCATGTACCATGGTTGCGGGGACCATGTTTCTAACTCTCTATCCCTCTCCCTTCCTCTCTGTAAAAAAATCAATAAAATATATATATTTTTTTAAATACATATTTCAGAGAGGAAGGGAGAGAGAGCAACATCAATGATGAGAGAGAATCACTGATGTGCTGCCTCCTGCATGCTCCACGCCAGGAATTGAGCCCACAGTCTGGGCATGTGCCCTGACCAGAACCAAACTCAGGACCTGGGAGTCCACAGGCCAACAATCTATCCACTGAGCCAGACGGGTAGGGCTATCCTACCTTTCACAATGAGCTGGTAAACAGTAAGTAGTGTTTTCCTAAACCTTGTGAGCTACCCTAGCAAAGGAACCGGACCTGAGGATGGGTCAGAAGCACAGGTGGCAACCTGGACTTGAATGACCTCTGAAGTGGGGGCAGACTTCCTGGCTGAGCCTTACCCTGTAGGCCTGAGCTCTCTCCAGTGAGTGGTGTCTGCACCGAGTTAAATGGTGGAACCCAGCTGGAGTCATGGATGGCCGGGGTCGGGAGTGCTGTGTGCCGTGTGCAGGAGAAACCCAGGAGGACTGGGTTCCCCACACAGAGCATCGGTACCCTTCCCTCACACCTAAGTTTATTCCTAGTTCATTCCTGTGGATGGCAATCAGGGCCATGCCTTCTCACAAGCTCGCCCTAACCTCTCCTTGTTAACTGTACTGTGTACAAGATTGCTAAGAAATCTGTAAATATAAATGTGTGAAAGAAAAGAGCCACATGCTGACCTGACAAGCTCAGGGGGGCCTGTGTGGCAGTCTTGCAAACCCACAGACCTAAAATAATCATAAAAGATGGTTTGAAAATTAAATATTTTAAGTACAAACAGGTTATAGTGGGTAGTCATTTCCCAGGCCAATATTTTCCCAAAGATCAACTTTGATCCTCTTTACTGAGCCCATTTTCTTCCTGCCTCTAAGATAACATATCTGAGAGATGTCTGGGTAACTTGTAACTTCCCCTTTTCTGGATCCCCTGGGGCACAACCCGATGTGGTGGGCGCCAGGACCAGTGCCTCAAATTCCTTCGTTATCATGTTAATTGTTCCTGCACTCACCTGAGTACACGTCCATCATTTTACTTTTTATCCAATCCCATGGGTTTCCCACCACTTTGCTTTCTCCCACCTCCTTAGTCTATCACCAATGAATTTCATGTAACCCACCTATGTCCCTCCTTTGATTTCAGTGTATGTAGCCCACCATTCTCCGGAGCATTATCTCAATCCATTAAGGTTCTGCTTCCCAGTATATGTCGATAGTTTGGCTCAAATAAACTCACAAAAATTCTTTACAGGTTTCCATGTTTTTTTCATTAACAAATGAATACATATGAGTGATTTGTTGATATTCATTTTCAGTACATTATAAATAACTAGGGGTCCGGTGCACAAAATTTGTGCACTCGGGGGGGGGGGTCCCTCAGCCTGGCCTGTGCCCCTTGCCGTCTGGGCGTCCTTGAGGGATTCCTTAGTGCTGCCATGGAGGCGGGAGAGGCTCCCGCCAGCACCACTGCACTTGCCAGCCGTGAGCCTGGCTCAGGGCTGCTGGCTGAGAGGCACTTCCCCCTGTGGGAGCGCACTGACCACCAGGGGGCAGACACTCTGCAGGAGCTGCCCATGGTGGTCAGTGCACATCACAGCAACCGGTCATTTCACTGCTGTCAATTTGCATATTAGCCTTTTGTTACACAAATAAGACAGTATCCATTTCCAGATGTTATGGCCACCTTGTATACTGTGGAAGCACACAGCTACCGCATACTACACACTGCTTCCATAACCACCATTTTACTCTTAACCCGCTAGGGAGAGACACTGTTGTCTCTTCAGTTGCTCCGATTGCCTGCAGCTGGTCCTCCAAATGCCTCAAGAAGTGCTGTTACCCACTGCGGGAAACTGCCCATTGTCTTCACCAGCAGAGAGGTGTGGACAAGGAACCCAGAAGGCTGGAGACCTTGAGTTCTGGCAAAGGTCAGAGCCATACACCCACTGTCTAGTTGAGGCAAAGGTAGCTGAAGCAACTTCAGCCTTTTGGGGGATATATATATATATATATATATATATATATATATATATATATCAGAGAGAAAGGGAGGGGGAGAAAGAGAAACATCAATGATAGAAGAGAATAATGGATCAGCTGCCTCCTGCATGCCCCCCACTGGGGATCGAGCCTGCAGCTTCCTGTTCATATATTGCAGCTCAATCACTGAGCCTTGGCAGCCGGCTGCCTTTCAGTCCTATGTGTCCTTGCTGATTACTGGAATTTCCTGCCTAAGGGCTACGGGTGTATCCCAAACCTGAATAAAAGGGATGGCAAGGCCAGAGCAGAGCTGAATCCTTCCTTGGGCTTCCCTGGCTCCCAATTTCCAATTATTGTCTTGTCTCTTTCATTTGCACACAGGCCTCCCCTAGAGCCCGAACCCAAACCTTGAACCTGAACCCTGAACCACGCAGGACATTGGACACTTGCAACCCAAAATAGCTTCCTTGCCCGACTGGCATGGCTCAGTGGTTGAGCGGTGACCTATGAACCAGGAAGTCACAGTTCGATTCTCAGTCAGGGCACATGCCTGGGTTTTGGGCTTGATCCCCAGTAAGGGGCGTGCAGGAGGCAGCCGATCAATGATTCTCTTATGATTGATGTTTCTATCTTTCTCTCCCTCTCCCTTCCTCTCTGAAATCAATAAAAATGTTTAAAAAATAATAGTTCTATTTTATGGTGTATGGGGAAGATAAATAGCCATTTCCAAGAGAGGGAGGCTTAGCTGAAACCGGTTTGGCTCGGTGGATAGAGCGTTGGTCTGCAGACTGAAAGGTCTCAAGTTCGATTCTGGTCAAGGGCATGTACTTTGGTTCAGGCACATGCCCGGTAGGGGATGTGCAGGAGGCAGCTAATCGATGTTTCTCTCTCATTGATGTTTCTAGCTCTCTGTTCCTCTCCCTTCCTCTCTGTAAAAAGTCAATATATAAAAAATATTTTTTAAAAATATATTTTTTATATATGTTTCAGGGAGGCTTAGATCCTCTCGGAAACACGGCAGGCCAGAGTGTGCTGTCAGGATCCCCTGCACTGGGTTCTGTCATCATCCTCCTCCAGGTCCACCCCAGCTCCTCACCTCCTCAGCCCGCCACCCACCTGGGGCTCCAGAGAATGAAGCAGGACAAGAAGTAACGTGAGGATCATGGCCAAGATGTGCTCTTCCCTCCGGAACAAATCTGAGCCAGCCGCTTTTTAAAACATTACTCCTTTGTTCCGTGTCTGGGAAGATAAAGTAGTGGCCCCTACCAACAGGCCTCGGCAGCGCTGACCCCCGACTGAGCTTGGATCATCCGGTTCCGTACTCACTCTGCCTTTCACCCTGCGAAGCAGGGCTCTGCCACCCCCACACGAGTCCAGTGCCCAGTGCCACACAGCTCCTATGTCCCCACGGTAAGTAAGGCCTCGACCCCAGGTCTGGCTCTCACGTCCATGCTACACGGCAACACACTGCCCACGAAACACTCTGGGGACCCTCGCTTGTCACTCGAGTCAAAGACTGCCTGGAAGTTGATAAAAGCAAGTGAGTGATGCTAGAAGAAAAGGATCGCTGCCCATCTGGTGGGGCTCAGCAGCTGAGCGTTGACCTAGGAACCAGGAGGTCACGATTTGATCCCAGTGTGGCGTGTGCAGAAGGCAGCCAACCAATGATACTCTCTCACCGTTGATGTTTTTCTCTCTCCTCTCTGAAATCAATACAAATATTTATTTATTTAAATATATTTTATTGATTTTTTACAGAGAGGAATGGAGAGAGATAGAGAACTAGAAACGTCGACGAGAGAGAAACATCGACCAGCTGCCCCTTGCACACCTCCTACCGGGGATGTGCCCGCAACCAATGTACATGCCCTTGACCGGAATCGAACCTGGGACCTTTCAGTCCGCAGACCGACGCTCTACCACTGAGCCAAACCGGCTTTGGCTCAATACAAGTATTTAAAAAGAAAAAAAGGGTTGCTATTCAGCTAATTTTCTCCCATTGACATACTGCTCTTAGCTTCTAGGAAAAAAGGTCAGGGTAGGGTCATCCAAAGAAGTGAGTAAGACGCTCAAGAACAAGGGGCTTGCCTGCTCATTGGGAGGTTGTCTCGAAGGCCAGCCTTCTGCAGTTGCCAGGCAACCAATGTAAACAGCAGAGTCGATCATGGCCACTAACTACAGTGCCAACCAGGTAAGTTCTCTTTTTCCATCTCTTTAACGTTTTGAATTTTGCCTTTAAAATTCTACCTTTGGACTGACACCTCCCCTAGGATTCTGGTCACTGAATGCTGGCTGGCTCAGCGGGAGTAAGGAAGCATTTCCCAGCTCCTCAGGGTGGGAAGGGCCCAGGGACCAGCAAAAGGCATCGCTGGGTTACTTTTAAGGTCTAAACCAGAGGTCAGCACATTTTCTGGAAAGGGCCAGAAACTAAACGTTTTAGCTTTGTGGGCCAAGTGACAAAATGAGATAGGAGACACTTACATAACAACAGAAAACACAGAAGTCAGAGTGTAACCACTGAGTGCCATTGCTTGTAACATAATGAAAAGAATGGATTCTTTTGGGAGAAACATTTTGCTTGACTGGGATACAAACTTAGTGTTTCCTTTTCTCAAATTAACTACAATTGTTCATCTATAAAAACCGTTTGTTTCCGCTCTCAAGCATCGGGATGGATTGGCTCACGGCATTTGCTGACCGCTGGTCTAGACAAACATGGTCTAACAAAAAGATAATGCGAATCACAAATGCAAGCTGAACTTCCCAGTAGCTACATAAAAGTTTTAAAATGGTTAATTTTAATAATCTAATTTAGCTCAATAAATTCAAAATTATTCAACATTTAATCATCGATATTTTAAAAGCTACAATTACATGTTTTACGTTCCCTTTTTTGTACCAAGTCTTCCAGATCGCACGCCTCCCCATCTGCTCCCGTGGCCGGTCAGGGTGGAGGTGTGTTCTTTTACAAGCACGTGTGGCGGTCACGTTTCAAGTGCTCAGGAGCTGCCCTGTGTGGCCAGAGGCTCCATCAGGACAACACACTCTAGTCCAAACTAACAGCCCCCCAGCCCCTACCCCCACCCCCCCACAGTGCAGGCCTTTGATCCTCCAACCCAGCGACCAGCGCGGCTGTTGGCTGTCCTCCGTTGTCCGTGTCCGCGGGGCAGGGCTCGGAGCTCAGAGGCTTCCCCTTCTCTCCGCAGTACGAAAAAGCATTCTCAGCCAAGTACCTGCAGAACTGGTGTCTTGCCAAGCCAACAAAGGAGGTATCCATGTTTCTACGTAATCACTCCCCAGCCTTCTTCCCACATCCTCCACTCCCTCAGCCCTCCCTCAAGCCCCAACACCCCTCCGGGTCGCCAGCGCTTCTCTTCCTTTCCCCCAGAGCATTCCTTCCCACGAAGGCTACACTCAGATAATCGCCAACGACCGTGGCCATCTGCTGCCTTCAGTGCCCCGTTCCAAGGTGAGACACTCGCCTCCGTTCTGAGACGACGGGAGCAGAGTGGGGAGGCGTGCGGGCTCGCCGCCGCTGCCTGGGAAGTGAAGTCCAGTCTCCTTCACGTTGGCCAGTCTACCCCACAGGCAGGGCATTAGCAGCAGGTCCCTACACTGTGGGCAGCCTGAATAAAACGGACGCCCTCGCGGTGACACTTCCGTGATGGCATGCTGCCAAACAGCCGGAGGCCACGGAACAGGGTCACTGCGTGGGGGAGGGGCTAGCTCTCAGTCCCGTTTCATTGCCACCCAGCCCCAAAGGAAAGGATGAATACAGGGTCTGCCAGGCAGGCACTGCCAGGAGTGAGAAGCCCTGCTTCTTCCTTTTAGGCAAGTCCTTGGGGTTCCTTCATGGGCACCTGGCAGATGCCTCTGAAGATACCCCCTGCTCGGGTGACCCTGACGTCCCGCACAGCTGCTGGTGCTGCCTCCCTCACCAAGTGGATCCAGAGAAATCCTGACTTACTCAAGGCCTCCAATGGGCTTCGTCCAGAAATCTTGGGCAAGGTACCTCTCATCCATCCCAGCATCTCAATTCCAGCCCGTTATGCCCCGGCTACTCCAGCAGGGGGCCCTCTAACCATCTGGCTTGCCCCGTGTGTCCCTCAGCACCTTCAGGGCGCTTAAGGGCTGAGCTAAGGACATCTTCCCACACCACACAAGGCCATCTGACCTCACCAGGGTCAGGGAGCACATCAGAGCTTACTCTTCTTGTTTGGAACCTGACCTTTGACCCATGGTGCGGGGACAGAATTCTCTGGACTGGGAAGGCCTAGGCCTGACCTAGCTCTCTTCTGTTCCACCCGACAGCCTCAGGAGCCAGCCAGTCAGAAGAAACCCCGGCACTCTGTCCAGCAAGCACCAAGTCCAACCATCATCCCAGGTTCCCCAGCCACGAACGTCAGCTCCCCAGACCAGCCCCGAAGCGCACACCCCTCCGCAGGCCACACCCCGGGCCCCCTCAGCCCTGCCGGCGCTCCCAAGTGCCCACCTGGAAGCCCATGCACGTAGGACCTGGGCCGGTCACTCTAGCCGGGCCAGGGACCCAGCTTGGGACTCCGCGGGCCCCGCTGACCAGAGATGAGTGAAGTAGGAGCCCAGGCAGGGAAATGTAGGAATAAAGGCAAATTTGGAAAATAAACATCACTGTTTACTCTTTCACGGATTCTGATTTTTCCCTCCTGCCTCTTATCACCAATAAACAGAAGGGCTGGGGAAGGGAAAACATGACAGAGGCTTGGGGGAACACATCTGTACGAAGCCCAGGTTGGTTACACTCCGGAAATGGCCAAGGGAAGTTGGTCTACATCACAGGACCCGCTCCCACGGGCACACCGAGGACAGCGCGGGGTACACACTCACTGCCCTGCGCAGAGTGCTCTTCTAGAACCCGAGGTCACTGTTTGGAAAGGAGCCTCTTTGGTCCAAGTTGTATGACCATGTTCGGACCAGCAGGTAGCTGGCCTTATGGCTGCTTGCAGAACAGAGTGCGGTTAACCAGCAGGAAGCTGGCTCAGATACCAGCTCCTGTGTGGGGAGGATGCACTGTTAACCACTGGGTGCGGCCGCCTGCTTCAGGGGCTGCTGTGAGGAGCTGTTTTGTCTGGTGGCTCCTTGTAGCCATGGCTACTTGGGCTACAACCAAGAATCTCTTCTATGCCCATGACTTCTCATGTCTCCTCCGTCCAACCCCCGGCGTCCCAGCAGGTAGGGCCCTGGCAGAGGAGCTGGGCCACGCTGGCGTCGTGGAGCAGGAGGGAGCCTCCTTCTCGAGGCTCCCGCACGGCAGTACAGCTCCGTTCCTGTACCGAGTCCCTGAAACTCTCTCCAGATGCCAAACTGTTTCTCTCCTGAGAGGTCAGATCGGGGGACGGAAATGCCTGCGACCTGAGGGAAGGGGGGAAACTGGCTCCTCACCGCCATTCTCTTGGTTCCTCTAGATTTCAAGGAAGAGTCAAAGATAAAATTAGTATTTTTATTTTCAGAAAAAGATGTCACATGAACGTTGATTAGAAAACATGACAATTAGAGGCTTGTTTTTCTGGAATTGCAAGGAAAAGAAATAACCCTCCACAGGTTCAGCAATACTTTTTTGGAACTTCTCTTGTATCAAAAACTATATACCTTCTCCCCAAAGCACCTGCTTCAAAAGCCAACCCCTCTGGCCGGGACAGGCTATCCTCCCACCATGTGGGTGCTGAGGACCCTGGGTCTGACCAGTGAACAGAACTGTCCTTGAAGCCACAACCCACAGGCAGCGGCACCCACAGCCCCACTCCCGGTCCGCATGGCGGAGGCCACAGAGCTGGCTTTGTTTCCACCGTCTCGGGAAGAGGAGCCAAGAGCTGACCCTCAGCACAAATCAAGGCCCAATATGGAGAGCATAAGGGCTGCAAGCGGGGGCAGGAGCAGGGAGCTGCTGCAGCCACCTTAGAAACAGGGGGGTCCTGGGACCCTTTCTACAGCTGAGCTCCAGGGACAGCGCAAGCACACAGGTCTGAGCAGCGAGAGCGAGGAAATGTGACTGGTCATCGGGCAGGAGCGGGGCGGAGCTCTTCACAGGGCTGCCAGCCCCAGCGAGGACAGCACGCTGAGGACCAGGACAGCCACCCCGGACTGGGTCAGCTGCGGGATCTTCAGGCCTTTTCCCAGGTCCCACATCTGCAGGAAACGGAAGAAGAAAAGAAAGAATCTCAGCGATCAGGACCCTGGGCTGGGCCCCAGCGCCCTTCCCAGAGGGCACCTGGCGGTGCAACCTGCAGCAGGCTCCGTGCCTGCGGGCAGGTTACCAGACTGAACAGACCAGCTTCTCAAGCACCTTCTTTCAAAAACTCTCCTCAGAATGTTAAAGGGTGATGGGGGTAGTTTTGTGGTCAAATAAACTGGTAAACATTTAATTGCAAGACTTCCAAACCATGCATGGATGTGCACTGAGTCTCCAAAGCGGGGACTTAAAGACAAGGTCTCCTAGATACAGTCATCACGGGGTCCCTTTGGAGAAGACTATCAGCCCCGAGGCCTAACCAGCATCTAGAAAAAACTCTGGGCTCCAGAACACTATTTCTCAATTTTGTCTTGGCTGTGGCCCCCAACTAAGAAAAAAAAAAAAAAATACATATATATGTGTGTGTGTGTGTGTGTGTGTGTGTGTGTGTGTGTGTGTGTTAAGTACTCGCACTGGTTTTTAGAGAAAAAGGGAGAGGGCGGGACGGAAGTGTCAATGAGGGCATAACATCCACACTGACCAGCTGCCTCCTGCACACCACCACTGAGGACCAAACCTGAAACCTGAGCAGCACCTTGAGCCAAAATCAAACCAGCAGCCTTTTGGTGCCTGGGACAATGCCCAACCAACGGACCCACACTGCCAGGGCAAGGAATATATTTTTAATTAGTGCCCACTCCTGTTAAAGGAAAAAGCACAGACTCCCAGAGACATCCTCGCAGCCACCCCGCTGGAACTCGCTGGCAGCACAGGAAGGCCACCTGGTGCCCAGGCCCTCTCCATCCCCACAGAAACGTCTGCAGGATAAACCCTTCTCCTCTCTCCCAAAGAAGACCTGCCTGACCCAAAAATAACCCTTTCTTTTCTGTTGTCAACACCTCCCTTGCCCGACTGCTCTTCCTATAAAAACCTTCCCCCGGACACAGCCCCTGAGCGCCCTCCAGCGGCTGGAGGGGAGGCTGTGCTCAGGACGCCCTCACAGAGCCAATGGGTCTTCCATGGACTCAGCTGGCTGTTACTGACATCTGCACAGAAAAGTTCACGGAATAAAAAAACAATACTTAAAATAACCATGTGCTACATTCTATGTGTGATACTCCACTTAAATTTCTTTTTTTGTTGGTAGCAACCCACTAATTGGTTGTCTACCCATTGGGTCAAAAACCACCATTTAAAACCACTGACTTAGACTCTCTCGTGCCCCAGAGAATTAACGTATTTTTCAGCTCGAGCTGAACGATGGGTCCCTTATGGTGAAAGGGAGATCTTCAGATTCCACTTTCCCACATGACGGCAACACACACCCGCCCACACTCTGAATGTGCTGGTAAACGTGACCAAATCAGCAGCACTTCAGAGAAAACAGAGCCCAGAGAAAAGGAAAAGGATGCCCACCTCAGCCCCAAACAGCTTCTTCCCAGCTCAGAGGGAGGCCACAGTCACAAAAGCTGTATGCCCATCAGGTGTCTCACCCAGCGGGAGGCCTGCTGGGGGGTGGGGGAGTGCCTATGGAGCTCCTGGCCGTGCAGCACAGAACGCATGGCCACACCCAAGGCCCTACCCGCACTCAGAGCCCGCGCCCGGGGCCCTACCCGCTCTCAGAGCCCGCGCCCGGGGCCCTACCCGCTCTCAGAGCCCGCGCCCGGGGCCCTACACGCTCTCAGAGCCCGCGCCCGGGGCCCTACCCGCTCTCAGAGCCCGCACCTGGGGCCCTGGCCGCACTCAGAGCCCGCACCTGGGGCCCTGGCCGCACTCAGAGCCCGCACCTGGGGCCCTGGCCGCACTCAGAGCCCGCACCCGGGGCCACACTTGCTAAGAGAAAAGGAACAGCAGATGCAAAGGCGAGGGTAGCCACACTGCTCTGGCTTGGGCTTCAGGTGGGCGTCGTCCAGCCACCAAAAAAGGAGGAGGATTCAGTGTTGCTCTCTCACGTCAGTGTTTCTCTTTCTTTCCTTCTCTCTCCTTCCTCTTTCCCTCCCTCTCTCCCTCCCACCCTCCCTCTAAAAAAAACCAAACCAGAACCAGCCAGGATTAAAAAAAAAGCCACACCTTAGTCCTGAGATTCTTTTCCCCTCCCCTCCTGAGGGGAAGCCCAGACGGGAGGCCCTGCCCGCCAAGGATGCGGCAGCGGCGGGGGAGGGGGGGGGCGAGAGAGAGAGAGAGAGAGAGAGAGAGAGAGAGAGAGAGGGAGGGAGGGGAGGACGCTGCCACTTCCCCTGACAGGAAAAGGATGTCCCACCTCAGCCCCAAACAGCTTCTTCCCAGCTCAGAGGGAGGCCACAGTCACAAAAGCTGTATGCCCAGCAGGCGTCTCACCCAGATGCAAAAGCGAGGGTAGCCACACTGCTCAGGCTTGGGCTTCAGGTGGGGAGGACGCTGCCACTGCCCCTGAGAGAGGGGGGGACGCTGCCACTGCCCCTGAGGGGGAGACACGGCCCCTGAGAGGGGGGGACGCCGCCCCTGAGAGGGGGGGACGCCACCTCTGAGAGGGGGGGGACGCCGCCCCTAAGAGGGGGGGACGCTGCCCCTGAGAGGGGGGGACGCCGGCCGCCGCCCCTCAGAGCTCTGCTTTGGGGAAGAAGCGCCCAGAGGAAGGCCCTCCTGCAGGAAGCAGAGCCCTCTCTGGCCACCCCGAGCCTGTCTCGAGCAGCCCAGTCACAGACTTCAGTCATTTGTCCCTCACTTTTCTGTCCTTTTAAACTGTCTATCGGACCAGACGGAAACACACAAAGTGCTTGTCTTCAGGCTCTAAAAGGTCAGCTAAGGCAAAAGCACTCATGTACAGATGGCTCAGGCTGGGAGTAATGGGAAACCGGAGAGAACTGAACTGTATTTGTCTTCCTGGGAACGGAAGCAAGACCAGGGGGAGGAGACACAGAATTCGCAATCTCAAAGGTGCTGGAAGAGGGAGTGATCATCTTTATAAAGAAGAGACACGAGTCTAAACTGACCCCAAGGTTCTCAGGCCATTAAACATTCCTACACCCAATATCGAAATCTGGGGCCCACCCTAGCTGGCTGGGCTCAGTGGATGGAGCATTGGCCTGCAGACGAAAGGTTTCAAGGTTCAGACCAAAGGTTCCCAGGTTCGATTCCTGTCAAGGGCACAGACCTTGGTGGCAGGCTCCTCCCAGTCTGAGCCTCCCTCGCCCCTCCCATGCAAGAAGCAACCAATCGATGTGCTTCTCTCACATCATTGTTTCTCTCTTTCCCTCTCTCTTCTACTCTCCCTAAAAACCAATGAAAAAAATATCCTTGGGGAGGATCCAAGATGGTTGCACAGGTAAACACCTAACCGCAGCCGCACACAATAATTTCAATGGAATACAACTAAAATATAAAATGGACATTGTCCAGAACTACAGGTAGTCGACTGACTAAAAATTCTACAAGAAGAGAAAACCAGAAGGAAAATCAGAGGAGCTGAAAAAGCCTAAGGTACGGAGACATGCTACGTGTGCGGAGAGGATGCAGCCGGAGAGGAGGAGAAGGCTGGGTGCCTGCCTGGCATTCCCTAGCAGAAAGGAAATAACAGCCCCGGACTGGGCTGAACCCCAGAACCGGCAGCGCTGAGCCCCAGTACTGGGCCAGACCCTGGGGACCCAGGCTCAGGCAGGGGGAGACGGGGCTGTGAGGCGGAGTCCCAGGGGAGCGGCGAAAAGCGGAGCCCCTGGAATCGCGCACACTGCGCGCAAAGGATGGAATGTTGACTCTGATGCTGGATTGCCCTGGCGGGAAGGAAACAAAACCTCTGCCTGTGCTGAGCCCCAGTTCCGACTGCTCTGAACCCCAGTTCTAGGCCAATCCCTGGGGATCCAGACTCAAGCAGAGGGAGACAGGGCTGTGAGGCGGAACCCCGGGGGAGCGGCGAAAGGCGGAGCCCCCAGAGCCGCGCACATTGTGCGGAGAGGACAGTCTGTTGACTCTGATGCTAAACTCCCCTAGCGGGAAGGAGAAAAAAGATCCAGACTGGGAGGAATGCGATGAGGAGCAGGAGCCACTGCCGGACACCGGTCAGCCGGGCGCCAGCAAGGAGCCGGGCGACGGGGCCCCCGGGGGCGGGGGAATGCTGCTGGGCCCTTAACCGCTAATCGCCGAGGCCAAGGGCTGCTTCTGGGTGGTACCGACCCCGACAACAGGCTAAAGCCGCGCAGGAGGCCGCGGAGAACAAAGGGGTGCTGCAGGCCAGCCTGCTGAGCTTCCAGGACAAGGAGGAAGAAACGGAAGTTTTCAATGTGAAGAAATCAAGTTATAGCAAAAGATAGTAAAATTACTTAAGAAAGAATACAAAGATCCTGAAAAATTGAAGACTAAGACAGAACTCAACTCAGCAACCAACATTGCAACATAAATGCGTTTAAAAAAAAAAAAAAAAAAAAAAAAAAAAAAAGGACAGAATATTGGAACGGCGGCGGCCAGGCCCAGAGTGGCCAGGCCCAAGGAGTGGCAGCCGGGTCCGGATCAGCAGCAGCCAGGCCCCAGAGCAGCAGCAGGTAGGCCCCAGAGCAGCAGCAGTCAGAACCAGTACAGCAGCAGCCAGGAATGGAGCAGCCAGACCTGGGGCAGTGGCAGCCAGGCCAGGAGCATCCGGGCCCAGAGCAGCAGCAACCAAGCCTGGAGCAGCCAGGTCGGGAGCGGCCTGGCCCGGAACAGCAGCAGCCAAGCGTGGAGCAGCCAGATTGGGAATGGCCAGGCCCGGAGCAGCGGCAACCAAGTCCAGAGCATCCAGGTTGGGAGCGGCCAGGCCCGGAGCAGCAGCAGCCAGGCCAAGAGCAGCCGGTCCTGGAGCAGCCGGTCCCAGAGCAGCCGGGTCAGGACCAGCCAGGCCCAAAGCAGCAGCAACCAAGCGTGGAGCAGCCAGATTGGAAGCGGCCAGGCCCGGAGCAGTGCAACCAAGCCCGGAGCAGCCAGGTCGGGAGCGGCCAGGCCTGGAGCAGCCAGGCCCAGAGCAGCCGGGTTGGGAGCAACCAGGCCAGGAGCAGCAGCAGCCAGACCGGGAACGGCCAGGCCTGGAGCAGCCGGTCCCAGAGCAGCCAGGCCCAGAACAGCTCGCTCCTCACCTGCCCCCGCCCCAGGGCTGCCTCTCAGACATGGCTGGGAACTTGAGGGTCTGCTGAATCAAGTGATGAAGGCTTAGATCTGGATGTGTGGAGTTAGTATAGGGCTGGGGTATTGATCTGTGAGTGCCTTGTGTGGGGTCTGGATGAGGTTGGTTGATCTATTTGGAAATGTCTTTTGTGTGAAGTGTATCGTTGGGCATGTGGAGGTATTATTGATTTGAGAAAATGCTAAGTAACTGATTTACTATCTGAAAAATTTAAAGTTCTGAAAGTTTAAGGTCTCTTGCCAAAAAGAGGTTTTAAAGCTAACACCTTAATTTTAATGGAGAAAGGGGAGGACAAGCCCTTCCCACCCAGAACAGGTAATCCAATTCCAACCAGCAGCTATCTTTAAATAATGTGTTCATTTACATTTGAATGGCTACACCTTTTGATAGCCTAAGGGCATGTCTACATGTAAACAAGTTTGCTTCTCAATTCCCAGGGCAGAAAAACCAAGGTTTAAAATTATTAGATTTTAAAATTTATTCTTAGAAGTGTAAAAGTTTATTAATTAAAAAACAACAACAACAACAAAAAAAGGAGATTGAAAAGCCTGATGAACAATATTAGCTGTTGACTGTAGTAGAGTCAGAGATACGGGAGGGGAGTGGACTAAGTTCTCGGGGAAAGGGGGAGTGGTGGATGCGGGAAGAGACTGAATATAAACTGTGCACCTATGGCTGAGGACAATGGGGGGGTAGGGAGGGGATGGGGTGGGGTGGGAACCTGGTGGAGGGGGGAAGAAACCGCTGCTCCAAGCCCGGCTACTCTGGGCTTGGTTGCTGCTGCTCTGGGCCTGGCTCCTCTGGGCCCGGCTGCTCCGGGCCTGGCCGCTCCCGGTCTGGCTGCTGCTGCTCTGGGCCTGGCTGCTCTTTACCCGGTCGCTCCGGGCCTGGCCGCTCCGGCCAGGCCCAAGGAGTGGCAGCCGGGCCCGGATTAGCAGCAGCCAGGCCCCAGAGCAGCAGCAGCTATGCCTGGAGCAGCCAGACCTGGAGCTTTGTAATAATATGAACAATAAAGATTAAAAAAAAAGAAAAAAAAAGAAAAAGAAAAAAAATATATCCTTGGGTGAGAATTAACAAAACAAAACAACAAAACAAAACCCTAGAAAACAAACAAACAGAAACATAGCATCCTAGGAACCCAGTTTTCTCCAATAGTTCAAAATAAACTAAGATCAAAAGAATTCAATGTCGCCGGGACCAGTTTGGTTCAATGGATAAAGCGTCGGCTTGGGGACTGAAGGGTCCCGGGTTCGATTCTGGTCAAGGGCATGTACCTTGGTTGCGGGCATATCCCCAGTAGGGGGTGTGCAAGAGGCAGCTGATCAATGACTCTCTCTCTCATCGATGTTTCTAACTCTCTCTCCCTTCCTCTCTGTATAAAATCAATAAAATATATATTTAAAAAAAAAAAAAAAAAACCAACACAATTCAATGTCAAGATAGCAAAAGTCAGCCCTGGCCACTTTGGCTCAGTGGGTAGAGCGTTGGCCTGTGGACTGAAGGTCCCAGATTTGATTCTGGCCAAGGGCACATACCTGCACCTCCGATGCAGGCTTGATCCCCAGTAGTGGTTGGGGTGAGTGTGGGAGGCAACCAATTGGTGTCTCTCTCATATCAATGTCTCTCTCCCTGTCTCTCCCTCCCCCTCCACTCTAAGAATCAATAGAAAATATCCTCGGGTGAGGATGAATAACAACAAGATACAGAAGTCAGTGTATTTGGCACCAGCCACACCTCACTCTGAGCTGACAGCAATGTCAGACTGAAAGCAGCGGCCGCGTTCCTCTGGCTCAAAGTGGAATCCCCGGACCTGCGACAGGGCCTACGCCAGGAGGCACCAAGTCCTCGTCCAGGAAACACGCCTTCCATGCCAGATGGCTGGCCTGGCTTCAGGGGTCCCTTTAGTAACAACCCTCTTACAACTGTCAGGCCTCACAGTGCTCCGCTCCGCCCCCAGCAGAGCTGTTCAGAAAACCCTGAGCACAAGTAGCTCTCTGACAGCACTGAACCCAGCCTGCCCACCTCCTTCACCAGGACACGCCGGAACCTCAGTGAACTTACCAAGTGTCGGACGCCATTCCAGGTGTGATACGTGAGAGGGAAGGCAAGCGCGAACTTGGCCGAGTGGATCAGCACCGGCCCCAGACTCAGGGACTTCACCAGCTCCAGATGGGACTCAAAGTTCCCCGGGAGCAACAGGGCCGACAAGCCAAAGAGAGAGACCCCTGCGGAGACAACCACAAAAGCCATCACCGCTGCCCACCAGCCAGCCTGCGGCACCATCGGGCTGGCTGACAGCGCCCCATGCTGGACCGCCTGTGCCAGAGCGCAGTGCGTTCACAGCTCCGTCCCTCTGAGCACCTGCTGTTCGGCCGACTTCTCTTCCTAAGCACTCCTCTCCTGTTCTGTTCATCGTGCTAGCTTACCCCACCCAAGGCTCCCTCGGCTCTCACCTGCCGTTCTCAAGGAATTTACCTGGTCTCACCCACATTTCTACACCATCTTCACTGTGAAAAATCCTGAGTATATTAATCCCCACTGAATCTAAGCAATGGAAGGCTGTCACTAGCAATCACTTTCTATCTTTTTTTTTTTTTTAAGGTTTTAACATATCACTCAGAAGCTAGATATATTTATTTTATTATTTTTAATATATATTTTATTGATTTTTTTACAGAGAGGAAGGGAGAGGGATAGAGACCTAGAAACATCGATGAGAGAGAAACACCGACCAGCTGCCTCCTGCACACCCCCTACCGGGCATGTGCCCGCAACCACTGCATATGCTCTTGACCGGAATCGAACCTGGGACCTTTCAGTCTGCAGACTGACACTCTATCCACTGAGCCAAACCAGTTTCAGCCACTTTCTATATTTTAAAGAATTGTTTGTAAAGTTCTTTTTCAATAAATTCTATTTTAAAGTCAAACTAGTGTCACCCTTCTTTTCAAGTTCAACCTGCTTTCTGGAGTTCTACATTGGCCACCAAGTTTCTACAGCCTGAACAAAGACCTCCTGTCTCGACCAGCTGCTCTGCTGCAGGAAGAAATGAGAGCAGGAGCCTCTCCGCCCCCACGGCCATGGGGGCCACGTCCCAGCGTGCGCACCAAGGCCTCCGTGCTCTCCCACAGGCCCTGCTCTCAAGCAGCAGTCCAAGTCATCACTCCAGTAACTGGCACTTCCAATCCCTAAGCCTGTGGAATGCCCTCCTCCACCTCCTCGTCATGAACTTTCAACTCACCCTTCCGTCAAGCTCGTCAACTCCTCAGCTGGCCTCTCCTCTGAGATTGCCTCTCTATCAAAATTATCACAATGCATTGTAAACATCTGTCTTACTTCTCATACTCCTCTACCCTTGAGGGTAGAGGCTAATAATACCATTCCCCAATTCCCAACGTGTATCGGGAGATGAATTAGAAGGTAGGAGGAATGAACAGTTCTGAAATGACACTGTGAGCAAAGATTTCCTACGAGCTAGAGTGTATGAGTGTAAACAAGTCAGATGCAGGCCCACTCTCTGCAGTCTAATAAAAGAGACAAGTTTATAAGAATGAAGCAAACAAAATAATTACAAAGGATATAACACAAACTATGAAACAACCAATGTGATAGGAACTATGAAGGACAGTGCTGTGAAACTGAAAACTAACAATAGATCTAGCAACAGAAGCTGCTTCATCATGCAGTGAGCAAAGGACATGGGGATGTCCTTTGTGAGGAAACTAAGCACACATGGCACAGCCGGGCGTGAGGGAACAGAGAGCAAGGATGGCATTTAGGCCGTGGTGGAGGCCTGAATTTCAATCTAAGAGAAAAGGCAAATAATAGTAATAGAACAGTGAAAATAGAAGATTCTAAGCCTGACATGATTCAAAAATATTTTAAAAAAATTTTTCTTGCTGTTGTGTGAAAACTAAATTGGAAGCGAGCCACAATATGCAAAGATCATGTTGCTGGGACGGATTCATTTCAGGACAAATGAGCCAAGTCTTGCTGCCATCTGGCCAGTGCACTTCCCCCTCCGAGAGGCTGTGACTATTAAACTGATTGTGCTTCTCATCCCTGTTCCTGTAAGTCAACATCTAGAGTCTAGTTCCTTGAAATCCTATTAATGCTGGGAGAAGCATCATTGAGTACCATTTTATAAGGAATAAACTAAGGTTTGGAAAATTGACGAAGTCGCCTAAGTCATCCACCTGGCGACCTCTGCTCCCTTCAGCACTGAAGGGAACACGGGGCTGCTGCCACAGGAAACAGCTACTACCTCCCGCCCTAGAGCAAGGGAGATCTGGGAAGAACAGGATACATGCTGACTACATGATCAGTCAAAGGGGTAAAGAAAAAAAAACAAAAACAAGTAATTACTAAGTACAGTTGTGAAAAAATATATTTAATTTCAGCAAACCAATACTTTATCATCGGAGTCCATGATCAGTCTGTCCCCATTCAGTGGTGACAGATATGCTTAGGCAACACAGAGAACTATGCTTAGGCAACAGCCAGAGAAATAAGCTGCTCTGCTCTCCCAGTGCTTATAGGGTGAAGTCTGCCCATCAATACCCCCACTAAGCAGAAAGCACCCACCTAAAAATGACAAGACTCAAGCAAGCAGAAATACAGTAACGATGAACTTCCAGGTAAAATAGCCTAATCTTGAACGTATCCCGTTATTTCAGTGCAAGTAGGTTAACCACCAGAAACCATCCCGGATTCCCAGGTGACACAGTCAGCCTTATGCCTGGACCCCATCCTTCCCCAGCCCAGGGAATGGCAGCATCCATGGGATCTAAGCTGGGAGTGCCCATGCTCACTGTCACCAGCAAAACGAATTTGGCTGCGAGTGGCAGAGACGTGGCTATAGATAAAGTCTGCCACTGTCTCAGCTGCAGCTCCCTCAATGCACGACTCCTATACTGAAGCCATCAGCCTTGCTGATGACCATGATCACTTCGGTAAAACAGTCCTCAGAAGCCTAGGAGCCTTGGCCGGGTTGGCTCAGGGGACAGAGCATCGGCCTGCAGAGTCAAGGGTCCTGGGTTCAATTCTGGCCAAGAGCGCATATCTCAGTGGCAGGCTCCTCCCTGTGCAGGAGGCCCAATTGATGTGTTTCTCTCACATCAACATTTCTCTCTCTCTTTCCCTCTCTCTTCCACTCTCTAAAAAGCAATGGAAACACACATCCTCGGTGAGGAGTAAAAATAAATAAATAAATAAATATAAAAGCAGCCTAGCATGTTATGAAAAACAAAAATATCTCCATGTCTCCAGCAGCTGATTCTCTTACAAACTATCTCCCTCCTGTGGAAAGATGCATCCAATCCCAGAAGCTGTAACAAACCTCAGTACTGGAAAAGGAGGAACTGAGACCAGTGTACCATCACCCGGGGCTCCCCTTACATCACATAAACAGGCAGGCACTGTGGTATGTAAGTGAGACAGGGAGACTGGAGAGTGAGTCAGGCATTGGGCCTGATCAATTCTGGGTGACAAGGAATGAGGCTAAAATGGAGACTAAGAACAAGGCTGATGACTGACCTCAGATTGGGTTGGGTCAGCGTTCAGCCAGCCAGCCATCTTATTACATTTCTAGCTCTGCACTGTGAGTTTAGTAAATATACCAGCAGGACATGCTAGGGATGATTTTTAAATCCCTAAGCAAAGAACCTGAGCATAATGGATACTCTTAATTAATTGTAAAAGTAATGAATGAAAAATAAGCTTAAAACAGACTCGTCTTTTTCTCTAAAGCAAGATGCTGAGTTGCAAGAAAGGCAGTGCCCGGATCCAAAGAAACAGCAAAGTTATTCACAGAAGTGCACGTGCACGCACAAAAACAGACAGACGTACCTGCACTCAAGGCAACACCAGTGCCGCGGTGGCCAATGGACATCGCCATGGGAAGAGACCAACTGCAAAGAAACATAAAAGCAACTGAAAAAGGAAAAAGATGAGCCCTAGCTTGGCAAGAGTGGCTCAACGGTTGAGTGTTGACCCATGAAGCAGGAGGTCACGGTTCAATTTCCAGTCACATCCCCCAGTTGTACCCACTTGTACATTCATAGGCTCGGTCTCCAGTAGGGGTTGTGCAGGAGGCAGTCGATCAATGATCCTTTCTCATCACTAATCTTTCTTTCTCTCTTTCTTTCTCTCTCTCTCTCTCCCCCTCTCCCTCTCTTTGTTTTTCTCTCTCTTCCTCTCACTCCCTCTCCCTAAAACCAATAAAAAAAATACTTAAAAAAAAGAAAAGAAAAGATGAGCCCTAGCTGGTTAGAATATCAGCCCATGGACCGAAGGGCAGTGGGTTCGATTCTGGTGAAGGGTACATACCTTGGTTGCAGGCTTGATCCCGGCCCCAGTTGGGGTAGATGTCGCAGGCAACCATTAATATGTCTCACATCAATGTTTCTCTTTCTCTGTCTCTATCCCTCCATTCTATCTATAAAAAAGTCAACATGATATCCTTTGAAGAGGACTAACAAAAAAAAAAAAAAAAAAAAAAAAAAAAAAAAAAGGAAAAGATGAACACACTAGAGTCCACTCTGGCAAAGAGAAAAGAAATCACTGTGGAAACAAGCAATATTTAAACAGAAACAATCAGCTTTCACATTCCTGTGGTCCACATTCTCGCTTTATTTGTGTGTGTTTTTTAATATATTTTATTGATTTTTACAGAGAGGAAGAGAGAGAGAGAGAGAGAGAGTTAGAAATATCGATGAGAGAGAGTCATCAATCAGCTGCCTCTTGCACACCCCCTACTGGGATATGCCTGCAACCAAAGTACATGCCCTTGACCAGAATCGAACCCAGGACCTTTCAGTCCCCAAGCCGACGCTCTATCCATTGAGCCAAACCGGTTTCGGCATGCTCTCGTTTTTAATGAGCACTGATCTATTTAAGCAGCAGCCTTCCCTTTGATCAGACTGTGCCGCTGACAGAGCTGAAAAGAGGGATGAAGGTAACTCATGCACCTCCTTTCACAAAGAAAAGCACGATGCTCAAAGACAGTAGTAAATCTGCACAGTTAGGAGACAGTCATTAGAATGCAGCCCCTGTTCCATTTCTCCATCATAAAACAGAAGTAGAAGAAAACCTAAGTGAGATATACTTATCCACTGTTTCATATAATATACAACCATCCTTGAGCTTCTTTGGTTTTTTAAATTTTATTTTCAATTAAGTTGACATACAATGTTATATTATGTTTTTATTAATGTTTAGCGAGAGGGGGAGAGGGAGAGGGAGAAAGAAATATAAATGGGCTGCCTCCTGCATGTCCCCTACTGGGGATCAAGCCCGCAACCTGGGCATGTGCCCTGACCGGGAATCGAACCGGTGACCTCTTGGTGCATGGGAAGATACCCAACTGAGCCACACCTGCTGGACTAAAATCTTTCTCTAACATCCTTTTGAAGAACTCATTTTCCCTTGATACACTTTTGCTTTGATGAACTGACTCAATATATTGAATATAAAGAGTGCTTCAGAAACTGCTAACTCAACCATTTACTTCAATGCCTCCTCCAAAAAAACTCCAGAACTTAGAAATAGGAATTATGATTCCAGACATCTCGGGCGTCTTTCCCAGACATGTCACCGTGGAGACAGCCCCGTTCACTGCTATCTCACTTTTTTCCACAAGCGTGTCTAGAATTTCAAAACAAGACAAACAGACAAGACTCACCTCACCAGCCCACTACCGTTTGTGATATGGCTCATGAAGAAAGGCCAGGGCTTTAAATATAGATTCTGAATACTTTGAAGAGTCCTTTATCATTATAATCCTCCCCAAATCTTTTCTGTCTAAAAAAAAGTTTCACCATACAGTAGTAAGGACTGAGATCACTTATCAGTATCCTTCTGTTTTAATATTGGACATTTGTCCAATTTCTGCAATCAGAATTATTTCTGGAATCCGCCTCAGAAACAATCTGAAGGGCTGTGGTATGTGTGGAGGTGGCTGGAGACTGGCCAGGCTCCCTGGCAAGAACAGGAAAGAGGGCAGCAGAGCTCAGGATGCTCGCTGGGTTAGCCAGAAAGGAGATCTTCAGGAAGACACTGGCGTTACAGCTTCAGTGCTACTTTTGAGGACAACGGATAACAGACACACATGTGCGTGTTCACACACACGTGCCCTAGCTCTATCTACTGACAGGGTCTGGAAGCAAGGACCGCTGGGAGCAATGAGCACATCTAGCACCAGGTCATGATGTCACAGGACCCCCCTGAAGACCTGGCCAAGCATGGAACAATCTGAACATCAAAACAGATGAGCTGACAGTGTAACCCTTTGGGCAAAAGAAGACAACATCTACCTACCTCTGCCTCTGCTCTCCGCTCTGGTTCCTGACACAGAGCACCTAAACCTTCCCATCTCCCGAGGAGCAGGGCCCAGGAGCATCTTTTTCTATTTTTTAAATATATTTTATTGATTTTTTACAAAGGAAGGGAGAGAGAGATAGAGAGCTAGAAACATCGATGAGAGTCATCGATCAGCTGCTTCTTGCACGCCCCCTACTGGGACGTGCCCACAACCAATGTACATGCCCTTGACCGGAATCAAACCTGGGACCCTTCAGTCCGCAGACGGACGCTCTATCCACTGAGCCAAACCAGTCTTGGCATCAGGAGCATCTTTTGTTCTAACAGTTGGTCTCCTGAGCCCCCAGTTCCTAAATCCATTGGAATGTCCTGGGTGGTAAGAGCATCCTTTGTTCTAATGAAGTGGCGCTGGCTGTGGGCTGGTCACCAGAAAGACCAAACCATGATTAGAAGGTTGGAACTTTCAGCCCAACCCTGCCTTCTTCCAGGAAAGGGGAAGAGCTTCAGGTTGCATTACTGATTTATCAGGCCCAGATGATGAAGCCTCATAAAAAAACAAAAAGTATGGGGTTTGGAGAGGGGTTTTTATTTTTGTTTTTGTTAATCCTTATCCAAGCATACGTTCCCATTGACTTTTAGAGAAAATGGAAGAGAGGAAGAAAGAGAAAGGAACATCGATGTGAGAGAGACAGATTGGTTGCCTCCCGCAAGTGCCCCGACCTGGGGCTGGGGATTGAGCCTGCAACTGAGATACATGCCTTTGACCAAAATAGAACCTGGGATCCTTAGGTCTGCAGGCCGATGCTCTACCCACTGAGCCAAACCAGCTAGGACTGGAGAGTTTTTAGGTTTAAATACATCTTTAGGTCAGGAACCTAGACACACACAGGAACCTGTATCATTTGTAATACCCTTTATAACAAATGAGTTAATGTAAGTAGACATTTCCAAGTCCTGTGAGCCCAAATCAAGGCAGGGATCATGGGAAGCCGACTGATACCTGGCCAGCAGAATACAGGTCTCAACCTATATGAAGTGGAGGCAGTCATGTGGGACTGAGCCCCTAAACTGTGGGGCCTTCGCTAACTTCAGACAATTGGTGTCATAATGTCAGATACCTAGTGTTCAGATCACAGAAGGTCCAATTGGTGCCCAGAGTTGGAAAACTGGTTGGTGTGGGGGGAAAAACCCTACACATGGGTGACATTGAGAAGAAACTGTTAGTTGGTTTCACAAAAGTGGAGGAGATACGAATGAGTTTTTCCTTTTAGAAATCCTTGGGTCTGTACCCATGAAGAAAAATAGCCTCACCCTAGTAATAAATAGATCAAGAAGGTATGATAGAATTAGAAAAAACACTGTTTGGCAAACATCATATGGGTAAAAGTCTGATGAGAAATAGTATTTATAGGCTTATGGCATCTCCCCACAAAATATGTATTAATAACACAAACCTAGCAGACACATCTTAATCCATGATGCAAGTCTGCGTCAGCAGTGATGGACTGAGCCATCAGCTGCCTCCCAGACACTAAGAGCACAGCATCTCTCAGAGGCAGTCCTGCCCATAATGTGTAAATCACAAGAGTGCATCAGAAACACCTGATAAGCAACATTCTGAAAATGTCAAGGTGATAAAAGATAAGGAAAAACTAAAAACTGTTCCATCCTGAGGAAGGTTAAAAAGACCACTGAGTGATACACAGCCTGTGGGGTCTTGGACCTATATGAAGGACATTACTGGGGCAACCAACAAAATATGTGTTGGACCTGATGAGGAGATGCTGACTGGATCAATGTTAACTTTCTTTTTTTAAAAATTTATTTCATTAAGTTTTAGAGAGAGGGGAAGGAGAGGGATAGAGACAGAAACACCGATGATGAGAGAATCACTGACTGCCTCCTGCACGTCCCCTTCTAGGTTTGAGCCAGAAGCCAGGCACATGTCCTGACGGGGAACTGAACAGTGTTCTCTTGGTTTTTGGGTTGACCCTCAGCCAGAGCCACGCCAGTTGGGCGTGACCTCTGTGATGACTGCACAATGAAGAGGCACAGATGCAGTACGAAGGGACGGTGGTAGGCAGAACCACCACCTCCCTCGTGTTGTAAGACTGCAGGTAAAATGAAGGTTGCTGACAAGCTCACCTTACATTAAGGAGGCCCCTGGAGGATGTGGATGGGCCCAATGTAATTGCAAGGGGAGCAGAAGAGCACAGTCAGGGGAGAAATATGAGATGAAAGCAGGGCCAAAGTGATGATGGGAGACAAATTTGACCCATCACTGCTGGTTCTGAAGATGGAGGAAGGGGCCACAAGCCAAGCAATTCAGACAGCTTCTAGAAGCTGGAAAAGACCAGGAAGTGATTCTGCCCTGGAACCTCCAGAAGGGACTGGCCCTGCCCACACTTCAGCTCACACTTTAGCCCAGGGAGATACTGTAAGACTCTGACCTCAGAACAGCTGGATAATAAATGTTTGTTGTGAACCACAATTGTGCTAACTTATTACAGATGTAATAGAAAACTGCATCATCTCTGCATTTGTTCTTTTTTTTTTAAGTAGTACATTTTTAATGTGGTTTTTTAAAAATACATTTTTATTAATTTCAGAGAGGAAGGGAGGAGAGATAGAAACATCAATGAGAATCATTGCTCAGCTGCCTTCTGCACATCCCCTACTGGGGATCAAGCCTGTAACCAGGCATGTGCCCTGACTAGGATTGAACCAGCAACCTCTTCGTGCATGGGAAAATACTCAACCACTGAGCAACGCCAACTAGGGCTGCACTTGTTTTAAAGTCCTCAGACATATTAATACTTTGTGAATCCTAGTAAGTTATATTGGAACTCTGTGTACTATTTCTACAACACTTAGGCAAATTTGAAATTGCTTCAAAATAGTTTGTGGTTTTTTTGATGAACAGCATTTTTACTTACCAGGATTTTCCAAATGGTAACTCTGTAGAATAGATTACCCTTATAAGACTAAGAGATATAATTTAGCCATACACACACACACACACACACACACACACACACACACACACACACACGGCTAACATGCAATATGCAAAGTGTCCCTTCAAGAGTTAACTGGGAGTTCAATGATTGCTCGCTATGGCATGTGCTGACCAACAGGAGGAAGTGTGGAACCAAGGAAGGCCCCTATCGCTGGCCAGGCCTAGGGACCCTACCCATGCCCGTATTTTATGCCCCAGGCCTCTAGTCCTTTTATAAAAGGCCTGACCGGAAATAACCAGGGAGGCCATGGACCAGTCCAACACTTTCACCCACACCTGCTAGGTTCCCTGGTCCCAGAGCCCTTACCTGTAGATAGTGATATGAGGAGAAAGAGGGCGGTTTGAACCAGCGTTCTTATTCCAGAATCTCTCCATCTCTTCCTTGGCTGAGGTTCCCAAAGGAACAGCACTAAAATGAAAACAGAAGGTTTTTAAATGATTAAAAGTAAAGTTGGTTTAAAATTTTTTATATAGCAGAAAGTTAAAAATACAAACAGGTAAGCTGGGCTGGATAAAACACTATATAAGGAAAACATGTTCAACCGCTCACTTATCTTTATGCCAAGTTTGACTCAGTTATTAATCCCCTCAGCCACCCAAAGAGGTCATATCAGAGGGTAATCTTCCCATCCCCCACGCCCAGGTCCACCAACAGAAGCTCCGTTGCTTTGTGGCTGGGCATCAGGGCAAACATAATACTTCAAAACCTGTTCAGCTGCTCAAGACTCCCTGTCAGGTCACAGAAACCAGGAGCTGCATCAGCGAGCGCCTCTGAAGGGTTTCTGGGTTTCCCTGGCCCTGGGCTGGGTGAAACCTACTGTTAAACAGCTATGTCAACAGCGTCACTGATTATGTGCCTACACTTAGCACGACTCCATCCCCCTCAGAGAAGTATCTTCCCAGAGATATGTACTAATTACAAAAGAAAAAAAACAGTATTTGCAGACTGGACAAAGCCTAGTAGACATTTCCTTAGTCAGATGATCACAGTTGAAATAACTGTGATAGAGACAAATGGCCCCTCCTCCTATTTACTGAGGCTGCACCATCACTCAATACTCCTCCTGCCAGGAATGGGTAACCTGACTACTCATCAGGGCAGTCAGATAAGTCAACCTCGAAGACACTCCTCAAAGCAACTGGCCCTTATTCTTCCAATTGTCCATGTCATAAAAGACAACGGAGTCCTACCTGGTGCCGCTCAGTGGATAGAGCATCGGCTTGCGGACTCAAGGGTTCAATTTCGGTCAAGGGCATGTATAATACCTTGGTTGCGGGCACATTCCCACTAGGGGGTGTACAGGAGGCAGCTGATTGATGTTTTGCTCTCGTCGATGTTTCTAACTCTCCCTCTCCCTTCCTCTCTATAAAAAAATCAATAAAATCTATTAAAAAAAAAAAAAAAAGGCCAACGGAGGCTAAGAAACAGTTCCAGATTCAAAGACACTAAAGAAATACGACAACTAAATACAATGTGTGAGATCTTCGATGGGAACAGGCAAACTAAATTTCAATCAAGTGCATTATTTGGGACAAATAGAAAATCTGAAAATGAAGTGTATAGCAAAAAAAGTACATCAATGTTAAATTTCCTGAACTGATAGTTGCACTTGTATAATTATACTGTGTTCTGTAAGATCATGTTCTTGTTCTTATGAGTAGTTACAAGTAAAGCATCATGATTCCTGCAACTCGATCACAAAGAACTCAGAGAAAATGATAACAAAAATTAAATACACAATGAACTACATTAAATTACCAATATCAGACCAGGTTAGACCTACGAAAATACCAATTTCATGTGACACAACCTAAAATATACAGTATATAGACCTTCACTGTATTAGTCTTCTAACTTTTCTGAACATACATTTCCAAAATTAAGTTTTAAAAAAATAACAGGCAACTGTTGAAGTCAATAGACTAGAAATGAATATAGCAGAGAAAAATATAAAGATTAATTCCTGTCCAAAATTAAAGTTTACAAGAAAAAGCAATAAAGAAAGAAAAAGACTACCAAAGGAAAGTAATTAGTTATCAAGGAAGGATCAAAAAGTGGGTTAAGTCAATGGAGTTAAATATAACAGAAAAGCTGAAAGTGAGGAAGATTTTTAAAAGAACAAAGAAATACTCTTTAAAATTTTTTTGATTTACAGAGAGGAAGGGAGGGAAAGAAACACTGATCGGTTGCCTCCTGCACCGCCCCAACCCGGGACTGAACCCACAATCTGGGCATGTGCCCTGACTGGAAATCAGACTCACCACCTTTTGGTGCATAGGGTAATACTCTAACCAACAGAGCCACATCGGCCAGTCCACAGAAATATTATTATCTTTCCTTCCACTACAAGATGAGAAAAATAGTAACCACAATCACTGTATTTTCAGCCAACCACGTACAATGTCTTGCTTTCAGACATATCCTTAAAATCTAAGCTAACAATCTATTACTTTTCTGAGGGGAAAAAGTAATAATAATATCCACAGCGCTGGCTGGTGTGGCTCAGTGGATGAAGTGCTGGTCTGTGGACTGAAGGGTCCCAGGTTCGATTCCAGTCAAGGGCACATGCCTGGGTGGTGGGCCCAACCCCAGTGGGTGACGTGCAGAAGGCAGCCGATCAATGGTCCTTTATCATCATTGATGTTTCTATCTCTCTTTCCCTCACCCTTCTTCTCTGAGATCAATAAAAATGTGTTTTTAAAATAATAATAATATCCACAAATTTAAAAACTTACTTTCTGATACAGAGCTGAGGACTGAGGTGGCCATGGAGGCAATAACGGCCCACGGGTCTGCAAGACAAGAGAGCCAGAGTCAATGCCACTCAGCGGTCCCTCCGGAGGGCCTTCTCTGCTGCCGCACTGTACATACTAGGGGTTGAGGGGAAATTAAACGTAAGATGGAAGCAATGATAGTACCAGTGTCCTGGAGATTATGTTTACATATCTTACTTACAAATACAAAAAAAAGTTTTGGCTAAACACAACACAGGGTAGAAAATGATCAGAGTTGGTACTATTTAACAGTAATAAAGAAAATGACTTTTTAAGTTAGGTCTTAAAGGAGGTGATGGTAAGACATGACTTTAAAAAAAAAAAAAGACCAGGGTAAGCCAGTGACAACTCCAAGCACACAGCTGAGCTACCTGTGACCCCACTGCAAGAAGAAGGTTAAGAGGTGGAGAACAGGGGTGTGTGCAGGGAGGGGCCTAAATGCTAAGTTCTCCTTTTAAGAAGCACATCAGTTCCTGACAATCTGGATGAACTCCAAGTCAAAAGTCTCATATAACTGCAAAAAGTATGGGAACACAGACTTCTTTACTACCTATACCTGGTATTGAAGAGGACACACAAGTTTTCTACTAAAAAGTTGCTACTTTTCAAGTCTGAGACTAAAATGCGCCTAGACAGTCCACCTGAAGAGGAAGTGCACCGACCCAGGGTTTACACAATATGATGACGTGATGACTACACCACTCACTCACATTATATCCAATCTTCCAAAAGCACTTAAGGAAGTTATCAGATGCCCTGGATGGTTTGAGTCAGTGGATAAAGTGTCAGCCTGCAGACTGAAGGGTCCCGAGTTCGATTCCAGTAGGAGGAATACATACCTGGATTGCAGGCTCAATCACAGGGGGCAACTAATCAATGATTCTCTCTCATCATTGATGTTTCTCTCTTTCCCTCTCACTTCCTCTCTGAAATCAATAAAAATATATTAAAAAGAAAGTTATCAGCCTTGACTGGTTTGGCTCAGTGGATAGTGTCGGCCTGCAGACTCAAGGGTCCCAGGTTCGATTCCCGCTGAGGGCATGTACCTTAGTTTCGGGCACAACCCTAGTGGGGGGAGAGGAGGTGCAGGAGGCAGCTGATCAATGTTTCTAACTCTCCCTTTCCCTTCCTCTCTGTAAAAAATAAATAAAATATTTAAAAGAAAGAAAGGAAGGAAGGAAGAAAGACAAAAAAAAAAAAAAAAGGAAGTTATCAGAGTGAAGTTCTGGGACTAAAATTTAAATACACTGACTCTGCAGAAGTTCACCGTCTCTACTATGTGGGACAGATTTATCAAAACCCTTTGGTCTACACCAGCTCACGATCATCTGCCACCCTGAGAGGAGATGCATCAACATTTCAAGAACCTCATCCTTACACTAGGAAACGAGAAGGACCATCATGTGAAGGACAAATAATCCAACCAACACTTCCTTCAGCTCTCCCCTCTTTCCAGCTTTGGAGGCAAGAGGTGAATACGGACATTGTGTATCCAGGGCTCCCAGAAAGAAAGAAGTGGGAGCAAATCTCTCTCAATTGAAGTAATTGTGCCTCTGAAGTTGCAGGGCTCGCATTCCTCACACCAGGGAGTCCAGGCCCTCGCTCCCCCAGGCGCCTGCAGATGTGGGCTGGAATCTACAGCTTCTCAGGCCAGTGCCATTGTTTCCCAGACAAATACCAAGCAAACTTTCCACAGGCTCTAAGAGAAACCAGCTGCACAAACTCCTACCTTTATTTGCTATGTGACGAAACATTTATCTATCCTGCCTTTCAGGTGAAACCAGGAATTCTGAAGACCTTTTCCACCCAGGAATAGCCCTGCACATGTGATAGCTAGAAAGTAATAGTATTCCTTTTTTATTTATAATAAATAAGCCTAGGTCTTAGCATCTCTATTTAGTGTTGTCCCCTTCTAAATGCATTACCCATGCTCCCCCCCAAATGCAATCATTGCTCAAATCATTTTCTGCAGCTTCTCTGGGTTGGGCAACAACAGCAATGTAGAAAGAACATCGGACAAAGTGAAAGGCCAGATGGAATTCTAAACTTGTGTAACAGCGCGGCACTGAGCTGCAGCTTCTTCGTCTATAAAATGCTATTGATACTATTTGTCTTCCTGGTGCTGAGTTCCATGAGAAAACATATGGGGAAGCATTCTCTAAACTGTAATGTACCACATACATGGAAGATATTAATATTTCATTGGTCTCCCCAAGGTCTTTAGAATTTGCATCAAATTCTATTTAAAATCCTCAGTGGTGATAAAATATTTGGCTCAGTGGATAGAGCGTCAGCCTGCAGACTGAAAGGTCCCAATGTTCGATTCCGGTCAAGGGCATGTACCTTGGTTGCGGGCACGTCCCCAGTAGGGAGTGTGCAAGAAGCAGCTGATCGATGATTCTCTCTCATCGATGTTTCTAACTCTCTATCCCTCTCTCTTCCTCTCTGTAAAAAAAAATCAATAATATATATATATTTTAAAAATTTGTCTGCTGAAAATGAATTTGAATTTTTGGAAGAAAAAAATCCCACAAATTATTCAAAGCTAAGTCCAAATGATAAAATTGAACAAAGCTATTTTTTGGCCCAAAATAAGATGTGACTGTAATATAATGAATTTCTCTTATATGATCTCTACACTTAATCTGATGTTATGCCAAACAGTTTCATAAATGACTGGGATAGCAGCAACCCTAAGTAGATGTGTAGCCTTGAAAAGCAATCACTGATGTACGGAAGTTCTGTATGGGGATGAGCCCACAACTAACTCCCAAGCTACAATGCAAGCCATCCTTGACTTCTCCTTCCTCTCACCTCCTTACATGCTAGGCCTCCCCACACCAGCTAGAAACGCCGTCCACTGTGAGTCCGCCCGCTCTTCATTCTCACTAGGAACACCGTCACAGAAGCTCCTGCGCTAGCTCCCTGGCACCATCTCCTCCCTGTCGTTCAGTATTACCAGAGCTGACTTACTGAAAAACAAAGCTCATTTCCACTGCTCTTCTGCCTAAATCTTTAACCATTTCCTACTGCTTAGGGGGCAGGTTCCTACCGGGGCCAAACAAGGCCCGTCTCAGCATTGCCCAATCCAATCTCTGGACCTATTTTTCAACGAATTCCCTTTAGCCCTATACTTTCTCCACACTGGATGCTCCGTCACACCCCCATGGCACAACCCCTCTTATGACCACATGCCTTTGCTCATGCAATTCTCTGACTGGAACCTCCCTCATAGCCTGATAAACTCACCCTTCAAAACCCAATAATCCCTAGGAGGCAACTTCACCATTTCTTTCTTTCTTTTTATAAAATATTAGAGGCCCAGTGCACAAAAATTCGTGCACTTGGGGTGGGGGGGTCCTGGTCTGTGCCCTCTTATAGTGTGGTAGTGCGGGAGTCCCGTGATCAATCGCCCCAAAGAGGTAGGCCCCGCCCACCCATCTAAGGCTCAACAGATTGCCCCAAAGAGGTAGGCCAGAGTTGGGGGGTCCCGTGACAGCACAGAGCCACGGGACCAACCTTCACGCTGCGCATGCGTGTCAAGCCACTGCCCAGCCGTGTGTGCCTCGTTGCACACGCAGCCCCGCCCGCCCGTGCTAAGGCACACGCAGCCTCCTGGTGACTGCTCATTATGGCATGAGGGCGTCAGTGTGAGGGCATCATGCCCACATAGGACTAGAGGCCCAGGACACAGATTCATGCAAGGGGAGTTGGGTCCCTCAATCTGGCCTGTGCCCTCTCGCAATCCAGGACCCCTTGGGGGATGTCGCAATGCGCCAAGCAGCAGGCGGCCAGGAGGAGTCCAAGCTGGGCTTGCTGTGCCTGCCACCGCCACTTGGGAGCACTGCCAAGAGTCAGGAGAGGCTCCTGCTGCAGAAGCTGCACTCGCCAGCCATGAGCCCGGTTTCTGGCTGAGTGGTGCTCTGGGAGCATGCTGACCACCAGGGGGCAGCTCCTACATTGAGCATCTTCTCCCAGGTGGTCAGTGCATGTTACAGCAACTTTGACTGATCATAACAATTGATTAGGCTTTTATATATATACTAGTGGCCTGGTGCACGAAATTTGTGCACATTAAAAGGGGGACCCAGAGTCGTCCCCGCCCACCCACATGTGCCTCAAAATCACGTGATATCCAGACCCAGGCTCCCCCCACATTGGGCTAGATCCAGACCCGGCCAGTCCCACCCTTATCAAGCCCCGCCAGGTCCCTCGGCCCAGCACCAGGATGGGGGTGTGGCCTGAGGTTCCCCAGATGGGGCAGGGAACATGCCTGTGGTTCCTCATCAAGCCCCACCAGGTGGGGGACACAGCCTGAGATCCCCTGTCAAGCCCCACTGGGTGGGGGTATGGCCTGAGGTCCCCCGTCAAGCCCTGCTGGGCTGAGGGGTGGGGAGGGCGCAGTCTGAGTTCCCCTGTCAAGTACTGCCAGGCAGGTGGGCACAGCCTCAGGTCCTCTGGCCTGGTGCTGGGGCAGGGTGTGTGGCCTGAGGACCCCCAGCCTGGTGCCGGGGTGGGGGGTGCATTCTGAAGTCCCCTGTCAAGCCCCACTTGGTGGAGGGGTGTGGCCTGAAGTCCCCCGGCCTGGCATTGGGGTGGGGGGAGCAGACTGAGGTCCCCTAGCCCAGCACCAGATGGAAAGCGCACCTTGAGGTCCTCCCTCAAGCCCTGCTGGTGTAGGAGGTGTAGCCTGAGATCCCCCAGCCTGACATGAGGGTGGGGGGCATGGCCTGAGGTCCCATGTCAAGTCCTGCAGGGTGGGGGGCACAGCCTGAGGTCATAGTCTCAGGTCCCTGCTGATTGCTCATTAAGGCCCCTTAAGGGAACTTGGCCTCAGCTGTGGGTGCAGCCATCTTTTGTGATGGAGTGATGGTCAATTAGCATATTTCCTCTTTATTAGATAGGCTAGATGTTTTTGATTTTTTTTTTTAAAGAGAGGAAGGGAAAGTAATAGAAACATCTATGAGAAACATAATTTGGATGCCTCCTGCACACATCCCCACTGGGAATTGAACCCACAATCTGGGCATGTGCTCTGACTGGGAATCAAACTGATGACCTCTTGATTCATGGGTCAACACTCAACCATTGAGTCACACCAGCCGAGAGACTTCCCATTTCTTTAGCTTTACCTGCTATACTTGTCAAGATCCCACACCACTTGTTCATATCTCTACATCAACATCCTACATAATAGAGGTAATATGTAAATTAACCGTCACACCCTTACACAAGATGGCCACCACCAGATGGCCAGCAAGGGAGCAGATTGGAGAGGGTGCAGGCTGGGCTGAGGGACACTGCCCTACCAGTGCACAAATTTCATGCACCAGGCCTCTAGTCAATTATGATGGTTAATGATTAACCTGTTTTTTTATCTCCTCTCTAGACTTTGATCTTTTCAGATTAGGACTGGAATACTTTGCACCTATACCTCTAAATGTCTGACACACACAAGAGGCTCAAGAAAATGGTCTGTGAATGAGCGTGCTTATTTTAAAAAGAATGTCACGAATATAACTAAAACTTATTTTTGGAGATGTTTCACATGTAAAATCTAATATGATGAGCAATGCCCCGAAGGTTAGTGATTCTTAGTGACTATGGGCTTAAGTGGTATGAACACGGCCCAGCTGCTCTCTATCTCTGCCTTGGCTTCGCCAAGTCATTCCTTACCTGAGTGCCAATGGAGTTTGGGATACTTTGCTGGCTATTGGTCACTGGCTAATCCATGCAAACTGTCTCCTCAGGAGTTCGACTGACCAGGAGTTTGACTGCTTGCTGTGACATGCACTGACCACCAGGGGGAAATGCAAAATAAGGCAGGCCCCAGCTGGCAGCTGCTAGGAACTCTACCCATGCATGAATTTTGCGCAGTGGGCCTCTAGTCTTTATACATAAAAGCCTACTATGCTAAGTGTCCAACTGTTCACTATGATGCACACTGACCACCAGGGCAGACACTCCCACTGTTAAGTTAGTTTGCTGCTGGGGTCTGGCCAATCATGGCTTGGTGAGAGGGGCTGGACATGCCCTAGAGCTAGCCAGGCTGAGGGACCCCACTGGTGCACAAATCCCTGCACCAGGCCTCTAGTATAAAATATAGACTATTCAAAAGCCATGACAAACAGTACTCTGATGACTAATAATATTTAACCAAGTATTAAAAATGTTTAACCAGCTGAAACTGGTTTGGCTCAGTGGATAGAGCGTCAGCCTGCGGATTGAAAGGTCCCAGGTTCGATTCCAGTCAAGGGCACATACCTTGGTTGTGGGCACATCCCAAGTGGGGGGTGTGCAAGAGGCAGCTCATCGATGATTCTCTCTCATCGATGTTTCTAACTCTATCCCTCTCTCTTCCTCTCTGTAAAAAAATCAATAAAATATATATTTTTAAAAAATGTTTAACCAATATTCCTCTTCAGTGGGCCCAAGTTATTATTATTTTCTTTCTTTTTTTTTTTTAATATATATATATATTATTGATTTTAGAGAGGGAGAGGGAGAAAGAAACATCAATGATGAGAGAGAATCATTGACTGGCTGCCTCTTGCACACCCACTCCGGCATGTGCCCTTGACCAGAATTGAACCTGGGACCTTTCACCAGTTACTGCTATTTTCATTCACAAATAAGGAATCCATAATCATGGAACCAATGACCTAGAGTTGTTCCATATGAAGCAGTGACACTAGAACTAGAAACCCGTCCTAATTTATTAGAAGGTATTTTCCTTTGAGGTTAAATCAGCACATTGTAAACAGTTCCAAATCACTCTTGTGCAGTGAGTTAGAACTAGAAATTCACCAGGAATTTTTTTAAAAAAAAAACAAAAAACAAATACACACCTTCTATAAAATCCCTGTAAGAAATGAAGAGAAGTCTCCTCCTATGAAAGCCTCGGATTGCCACTAATGAAAAGTTTACTTCTTGGCACAGAACCATGGGGATGGAAGTCCTACAGAACTGAAGATGATTATGTCTAAACATAGTTCATGAGGATAGTGATCCTCAGCTTCTAAACCCAAACTTGAAACTCCTAAAATGAACTGTTTAAAAATGGTCATTTCAAATTAAATGTTAATTCCACCACTACCAAAATATGATACATCAAAGAATCCAAAAGCATTTAATTATGGAGGCAATTCTGTAAAAAATGGGCAAGACATCCCTTAGGGAAAAAGGATTCATCTAATATATATGAGCCAAGCAACCAGAACTACCCAAGGACCTGTCGCTATGACACACTGCCGAGGCCAGCCACCGATGGGGCCCCAATAACCCCCCCCCACCTCCTGCACCCCTCAACCTCCGCAGCCCCTTGTCCCCCGAACTCCAAAATACCCTATCCAGCGCTAGCGGGGCCCTACCCCTGCACCAATTGGTGCACCAAGCCTCTAGTTTGGAAATAAGAGGCAGGGAGAAAAATAAAGGACTAAGAGGACTCATTCCTGATCTCAGCTCCAAAAGGAATCATTTTGTCAACAGAGAGAAACTAAAGTCTATTTTTATACTGGGTGACTTAAGTGGAAAGTGAGGAGACATTTGGGTAAATCAGGAATTAAATCTCAACGGCATTAAAGCTAACTTTCCATGACAAATAGTTTCCAAAAATAGGGCTGGCACAAAACCATGCTGGGATTTGTACGAGTGTGCAGAGCCGCCGAGCCCCCTCCCGGGCAGGCGCGGAGGGGGCGAGGCCGCAGCAGTTCAGAAGGACCCCGGCCCAGAGCTGGGTTCCGCTCCGCCCGCGGCGGGGCTAAGCTGAGCTCCGGCTCACCCAGCCCGCGAGCCCGGGCTCCGCTCTCGGCGGCGGAGCCGGGGGCAGGACGCGGCCCGCCCGCCGCCGGGGCGTCCGCAGCGTTGGAAGCCACGACGAGAAACCGCGTCTGCGACCCAGGCCCGGCCGCTTTCCCATTAAAGGCGGAGCCCGCGCCCCCGCGAGCCAAGCCGCCGGCTTCCTGCGACCCCACCCTCGCTCTCCTGCGTGGCCCGAGGCCCGCCTGCAGGCCCTCCCGGCCCGGGAGGATGACCGGGACGAATTCGGAGGTGGGAGCAGGAGCAGCGGGGAAAGACGGCGGCCATGACCCCAAGCCCGCGAAAGGGGGCGGCGGGCCGCTGGGTCCGGCGCGGCCGCCGCACGGACCCTCGCTGCCCGGGCAGGTGAGCAGCGTCACCACGCAGACAGACCAGGCCGGGTCTCCGGAGGGACGCCGGCACCGATCCCGCCCCGCACGAAAGTCACCTCAACAAGAGCGCAGCCATCTTGGTTTCCGACCTGGACGGAAGTGACGCGCGGCCAAGCTCTCGGCGCGGGGCGGGCCTGCCCAGCGGGGCGGGGCTTCCGCCACGTGACCGCACGGGGCGGGGGCGCGAGTCCGGCCGCCGGTGCTTGCGGCGCGCGCCTCCCGCCGGGAGTCCTGCCGGAGCCTCCCGGCGCCGCACCGGTCCTGGGCCCGCTCTGCAGCGGACGTTTCGGTTGTTGTGGGAAGCGCTGCAGGCCGGGCCCAGACGCTCCCAGGCCCTTGGGGGCCCCCGTGGGCTCGGAAGCGCCCGGTCGCCCCTGTGAGGTCCCTCCGGGTCTGACGCGCAGCCTCCCCGCACAGACATCCACAGTCCAGACCCGGCTGGGAGTGAGTGGGTCTGGGGAGAACTCGCAAACCCGTTCCCAGGGCCCGAGCTCTAACGCCCGCAGGCCGCCTGAGCTGGAGCCCACTAACCAAGGACAGCGCTCCCCGGTCCCTCGGTTCAGTTTTGGGGTGACACCCTCAGCCGAAGATCCAGGGTGGGCTGCGGAGAAGTCGCTTGGATTTGATGGATAGGAACGATTTTGAGGAACCAAGCACAACAGTCACTTCCAGAGACGTTAGAACTTCGGGGAGAAAGGGAGCAAGTGAGAAAGAAATGGGGAGGGGCCGTTCTTCAGTCTTTTTGGGGGCAGAGGGGAGAAGGAGGAGTGAAGGGAACAACTCCTATTCTACAATAAAACATTATTACATTAATATTCAGACTTTACTTATATTTAACACTGCTGCACCCTTCCTTTCAGGATTTACTAGTAAATAGCATTAACGAACTTATTTCTGTATCAAATGAAATGCTATTTTGCATTTCCATAATGCAAATTTGATATTAATCTTGGACCCCACAGGATCGCCAGGAAGGAGGTGCGGGAGCTGTGGCTTTCCGGGAACCTGCAGTGTCCCAGAGCAGGAGCAGCAGGAACCTCTCCCCTCAGATTAACTTCCAGAGCCCAGAATTGGTGGAAATGATTCACACTGAAATGCAAACCAAACATTAAGGCAATCCTCTTAAAACCAGGACTCATCTTAAAAATAAGCAGGAGAAGAAGAGCAGAATCTGCCTGGGGCTTGGGGTGAGAGAAGGGCAGGAGAAGAGAGAAGGGAAGATGGGAGTATGAGAGGTTCCATGGAAAGCAAAATCATTTCAGATGATTCCAAGGAGGGAAGAAAAGGAGGCAACCATCAGGAGAGCTCTGATCTGAATGATTTTCCTGGCCATGTTTGTTGTAAAGTCAGCTCTGAGCATATAGACACTCCCATGGTTAACTTTAAACACTACCCCAGACTTCAGGAAATCCTTGCCTATCAAAACCACCTTCAATTTTCATGTACAGACTTGTTTCCTATATGCCTCTTCAGGTTCTCCCAAGTCAAAGTGGATGACCCCAAATCTGCCTGGAATATGCCCAATACTTCTCAACACACACACACACACACACACACACACACACACACACACATCACCACTACCACCACACACAATGCACATGTTCTTACCTCTTTGTCTCTGCTTTCGCTGTTTACTGCCTAGATACTCCCACCCCCGGGCTCATTTCTCTTTTTCAAAATGGCATGGATCCTTCCTAGTTGGTCCACAGCTAATACTGTCTCCCAGACATGACTCCCCCTTCCTCTGAACTTCATTTATTAAGTAAACCTCCTTTTTTCACATCTCCGCTACATAATGGTCTCCTGCCCGTGCAGCTGAAGGTACCTCCTGGGTCCCCAGCACATTGTTCCTCATTCTCCTGTGGCAGTCACAATCTGTTATGGTCCATTGTTGATGGGCTTGTCCTCTGACCTTCCTCTCTCTGCCTCACAAACTAGATTCTGAACTCCTTAAAGGGAGGACCTAATTTTTATTCTTCTCTCTGTTGCCCGCACACCCACATTTTACATTAGGTAGCACAGTATGGTGTTGGTGACTTGTTCTAAATTGAAATGGGCTAAGACTGCAGCATCCAGCATTGAAGGGCTTCCTGACAGGAGGGAGAAGATAGGAGATTCTTCCCTGGACATTTTCCAGAGAGAAAAGCTTCCATCTGGGAAGAATCACTCAGGACGAAGGGAGGCGGGTCCAATGGAAGGCTCCAAGGACCTGGTCCTCTCAAGAAGCCTGTCCTGCAGCTTGAGGTCATCAGGATGACAGCGATGCCTGCTCCCCAGGTTCTCTTGGGAGCCCTGCCTGTAGCTCCCAGGGTTCTTGGGGAGTCATCTCAGGCAAGGCATCTGGGAAGGAATCCCCTTCTCGTGGCCTTGGGACTCAGGCTGCCCTGCCCGTCTGTCCCTTAGAGAAGTGTGTTTGTGTCCCTTTTTCTGTCCCTCTCCCTCACCACCACCCTCGACATTCCAGCCTAGGGCAGGGGGAGGCCAGCAGACACAAAGCCCTCTGTATATGGGGTGGTATGTGTACCCCACCCTCCACCCGGAGGACACAATGCTCCTTCTGCTCCCTGCAGTCGGCCCCCCTACCACCACCTCTCAACGGCACATGCCAGGCTGCAATTGGCTACTGGCTCAGGACAGCCCCCTCATACTGGGGCCCTGGGGGATTTTAAGCGGGTTCCAGGAACCCCCTGCTCAGTTCCTGGTCCCCCACTCTCCTAACCCTGCAGACCCTGCCCCAGCGATGGCTCCTGGGGCTCCCTCATCCAGCCCCAGTTCTGTCCTGGCCGCACTGCTCTTCTCCTCGTTGGGTAAGTGGAGCCACCCCAGCCTGGGGGCCCTGGCACTCAGGTTCTCTCAGCAAACTTTCCACTGCCTTCCCTGTGCTGCTCACTGCAGTTAAAGAAAGAGTGAGAAGGATCAGGAAGGGGATGTTCTATTCAGAGAAAAAATCGTTTGGAGGGAGGCATGAAGGTATTCCGGGCAGGGAGGAGGTAGAAGGGAATGTGGAGAGCCTCTCTGAGGTGGACATACTGGACCCAGGCTGGGAATCAGTGACATGGCCCAGAGCCTGCTGAGGGCCTGGGGGCAGCAATGTTGGAGCAAGATAAGGACCAGGGTCAGACATGACTCTGTTTCCTACTCATGGTCCAGTACAGACCCTTAGTACCAACCCTTAGTTTCCATGAAGGGAGGGTCCAGGGATTGTGGTCCAAGGAAAGGTCCCAGGTTTGTGGTCTCAGCTCCTTGGGCCCTTTGCCTCTCAGTGCCTCAGTTTCTCTCTGTGGACCAGTCATCTATTATGTGGGAGGAAGGGTTTATTAGATTCTAAGATTTTGTTCATCGAAAGCTGTCTTCCTTCCTAAGTTGGTGGACCCCTTCCTTGCCCCAGGCTGGGTGACCAGGGTGATGGAACAGCTCCTTCTTCTGAAATGTCCTGGAGTGGCAGGCCAATGGGTGGGGCTGCTCAGGATGTCCAACCTTCTCTGTGTCCACTTCTTGAGTCCTCAACCCAAACCCATACTCTTCCGGGTTGTACTGGTCTATCCAGGGACCCAAGGAAACACTGGGGAAGGGAGGAGAGAGGGGTGAGGACAGGGGATCTTGAAGTATAAGGGGAAGAGTTCTGTCCCAGCACCTGCCCCATTCACTGAGCAGAGCTGAAGGGCAATGGGGACATTAGAACAGGAAGACTCGGAGGTAGGCCCCATGAATAATGCTCCTTGTTGGCAGAAGTCTTAGGTGGCGAATCAATGATATTACATGCTGAGGTGGGAGATTCAGGACTCTGTGGAGGTGGCATGAGCCCCCAACATTGCTCAGACAGTGGATCTCTCTGTTTGGCTGCTTGCTCCCCATCTTGTAGAACAAAAGAGTCTATAATTGCCCCCACTCGGCCAGCCCACGCACATAATCTTCCTGGAATGGCCTTTCTTGTGTGGGTGGGTCTTGGGCGTGGCACTGACCCAGAACGGCCCAGAGGAGGGGGAGCAGGGCGAGCCACAGAGCGTCGCATGCAGCCATCTGAGCTCTGGGCTCGGGGTCTGCCTGGTGCCCAGCTTCTCCGGCTTCTCCTCCCTGACCTCCTGGTCAAGAGGAAGCAGCGTGGCTGCCAGACTCGGCAATGAGGACCACGGGCCAGGGGAGAAGACTTAACATTTTGTGGTTACCTTCTTTTTCTCCCGTACAACATTTTGATTTTGCTCTACTGAGAAATACTGTGCAGCTTTTAAAAAGAAAATTGTTTCTCTGAATCAATGTGGAAATCCCTACATATATTCTTTTATATACATATATTCTTAAGCATAAGTATCTGCAGATCTTGAGTTTATTAAACCTATATTGAATTTGATTCACTAACAGCGTGGCTGCTGGGGCTCAGCGGGTGAGTGTCAGTCTAGGAACCAAGATGCCCCTAGTTCAGTGGTTCAGTTCCCCACAGGGCATAAGCCTGGGCTGCAGGCCTCACCCCCAGGAGAGGCGTGCAGGAGGCAGCCGATCAGTGATTCTCCCTCATTATTGCCAGTTCTCTCTCTTCCTCTCTGAAATCAATAAAAATATATATTTTTAAAAATAATAGACAGGAAAGGAATTGGTTGAGGGGGCCTCAAAAGAAACTTTAGCCTTATCTCTATTAACCCTAACATGTGTTACCTGTGTAATTTATTAAAAACTTTAAACATTGGAAGCCTGCATCAGAGGGCGGCTTCGGGGACACTGAGCCCGAGGGAAAGGGAGGCTGCGGAAGAATGGCTGACCCAGGGAGCAGTCACTGCCACTCATCCCGCAGACCGGGCCATCTCGGACCGCACAGCCTCACCTCGCCGGCTGCTCAGGGGCGGGGCTTGGGCCTCAGAACCTGTCATTTCTGCTCGTCTGCCCCTGTCCTCAGTGCTGCCGCCGGCCCAGGCCATCGTCGTGTACACGGACAGGGAGGTCCATGGCGCCGTGGGCTCCCGCGTGACCCTGCACTGCTCCTTCTGGTCCAGCGAGTGGGTCTCGGACGACGTTTCCTTCACCTGGCGCTACCAGCCCGCGGGCGGCCGCGACGCCATCTCCGTGAGTGCGGCCGGGCTTGGGAGGGCGCTGCGGCCCTGGAGGGAGCTGGGGCTGGGGGCGGGGGGGCAGCGGGCAGAGGAAGGGTCCTCCCTGCCCCCTGCCGCCGCTGGAACCGCCCCACCCCCCGCAGATCTTCCACTTCGCCAAGGGGCAGCCCTACATCGACGAGGTGGGGACCTTCAAGGAGCGCATCCAGTGGGTGGGGGACCCGCGCTGGAAGGACGGCTCCATCGTCATCCACAACCTGGACTACAGCGACAACGGCACCTTCACCTGCGACGTCAAGAACCCCCCGGACATCGTGGGCAAAACCTCGCAGGTCACCCTCTACGTCTTCGACAAAGGTGCGCGGGGCGGCGGGCGGCGGGCGGGGGCGGGCCCTGGGGGCGGGGGCGGGGGCGGTCCGGGGCGGAGGAGGAGGGTGGGCAGAGGCAGCGGGGTCCCCCCGCAGGGAGCGGGCAGGCCGGCGGGTCTCTCACCGGCTTCCGCCCCCAGTGCCCACGCGCTACGGGGTGGTGCTGGGCGCGGTCGTCGGGGGAGTGCTGGGCGCGGTGCTGCTGCTGCTGCTGCTCTTCTACCTGGTGCGGTTCTGCTGGCGGCGCCGGCAGGCGGCCCTGAGGCGGCGGCTCAGGTAGTGGCGCCTGGGGAGGGGGGAGGAAGGGGAGGGGGAGGGAGGGAAGGGGAGGAGAGCGGAAAGGGAGGGAGGAGAGGGTCTCGGGGCAGGGGCTCCGGCAGGCCCCACCCACACCGGTCTCCCCGCAGCGCCATGGAGAAGGGGAAGCTGCACAAGTCTGGGAAGGACTCGTCGAAGCGCGGCCGGCAGGTTAGCGGGGCTCGGGGCCGGGACCGCGGGGCGGGGGCGGGGCGGGCCGGTGACTGACTGCGCCCCTCCCCAGACGCCCGTGCTGTATGCCATGCTGGACCACAGCCGGAGCACCAAGGCGGCCAGTGAGAAGAAGTCCAAGGGGCTGGGGGAGTCTCGCAAGGATAAGAAATAGCGGTTAGCGGGCCGGGCGGGGGCTCGGGGCGCAGGGGCGGAGGCCCCCCAGGGCGCGCAGGTGGTGGTCATCGAGATGGAGCTTCGCAAGGACGAGCAGAGCTCGGAGCTCAGGCCCGCGGTCAAGTCCCCCAGCAGAACCAGCCTCAAGAACGCCCTCAAGAACATGATAGGCCTGGACTCGGACCCGTGACCAGCCCAGGCCCTGCCAGAGCTGGGCCCCGGGCTCCTGATGCCCCTCTAGGTGCTTTCCGCCTTAGCACCCAGGCCTGCCCTGCCCTGCCCTGCCCTCACTTCCCTCTGAGATGTAAGTTTCATTCCAAAATTCATTCCCCAGGCACGTCATATTCTCCCCCACCTTCACCCCCTGGCTTTCTGGGAGTCCAGGGCCTGATCCTACCCTGCACCGCCCCCAAGGACTGTGTGTTTGGTGCCTGTCCCTCCGGCACCGAGAAGAAAGGGACCTTGCTACCCTGCGCCTCGACTCCAGGCCACCTGCGCCCCTGCCCTGCACCCACCCTGCTCTGCTGCCTCTTCCCGCTCTGACACTCCCGCCCTCCCAGGGCTTCTGCCCAGACTGTGTGCTCTCCCCGAACACCGGGACCATCCAGATCAGCCTCTCCTGCAGGGTTTATTTGGGTTATTTTTATTTTTTTAATCCATGCTTGTTTGTTTGTTTGCCGGTGCCCTTGCTCTGACCCCCATGACTGAGCACCGATGACGTCATGTGGATGTTCGGATTCCCGCCCCCATTACATCCTTCAGGGAGCCAGCCGGCCGCCCGGCGCTGTCCTGGAACTCGAGGCCCTGGGGGGAGAGACAACGGTCCTGGGGCAGGAGTTGAGGAAGGGGGCAAATGAGCCTTAAGAAATGGCTTTTAGACGCCACACAGAAAGGAGGAACACAAATGGGAACAAGGGCCAAAGAGAAGAGGCTGCCCTCCCAGCCACAGGGGATTCTTAGAATTTTCCTACACTCTGTATATTTCCTCTCAACCCCGGGTGTCCTTCTCTGTTTAATAAACACTGACATTTCCAGAAGCTGCTGCCTCGTTCTTCTAGGCAGAAGCCCTGCCCTCTCCATCCCTCCCTGCGCCCACGGCTGGTTTCCACCGAGAGCTTGTCTGGGTGGCTCCCAGCGCGGGAGGGGGCTGAAATAGGCTCACGGGACCCATCCCAACAGCCCAGCACCCAGGAACTCCTGCTGTGCGGCCGCGGCAGGCTGTGCCTTTCCCGGGGAGGAGAGGGCGAAGGGAGCAGTAGCTCCCGGGTGATGGCGGGGGAGACTGGGAAGCCGTGGCGGCCACGTGCCCTGCAAACAGCCCCAAAGACGGAAACCGGGCAGAGAGCGGCAGAGGCGGCTGGGAGGAGCTCCCCGAGAGGAAGTTAGGCGGGAATGAGATGGAAGGGACCCACGTGGGAATGCTGACGGCATTGGGGCAGGAGAGGCCAATGACCGAGTCCAGGCAGGATCCTTGACCCTTCAGGGACCTGACTTTCTGCCAAGATCATCTCCCAGTTTGGGGTGTGAGAACGTACCCCAAGTACCCTGCTCAGACCTGCAGACTCTCCACCTCAGGGCTGCACACCCAGCTCTGCCACCGCTTCAGCCAGAGACCCAGCGGAGGGGACTGGGGAGACCCCTGAGGGGGCTGGGGAGACCCCTGAGGGGGCCGGGGAGACTCACCGGAGGGGGCCGGGGAGACCCAGCGGAGGGGACTGGGGAGACCCCTGAGGGGGCCGGGGAGACCCAGCGGAGGGGACCGGGGAGACCCCTGAGGGGGCTGGGGAGACCCCTGAGGGGGCCGGGGAGACTCACCGGAGGGGGCCGGGGAGACCCAGCGGAGGGGACTGGGGAGACCCCTGAGGGGGCCGGGGAGACCCAGCGGAGGGGACCGGGGAGACCCCTGAGGGGACCGGGGAGACCCAGCGGAGGGGACAGGGGAGACCGGTGGAACCTCGGTGCTTTCAGCACCGTCTCTTCTGCTGACCGCTCACAAAGTCAGGCACTCAAGCAAGTCGTTGGCGATTGGTATTCAGGATCGTGTCTCCCGCGGTAGGATCTGGGGGGACAGGAGAGAAAAGGGGCTCCAGGGCCCAGGAGTAGGGGCGCAGAGGTGAGGCTCCGTTAGCGGCGGCGGAACTGCGCAGCGGGCGGAGGGGAGGCCGGCAGGACCTGAGGGAGCGGCCACTGGCTCACAAAGGCGGCCTCGCCCTCTCAGGCCAGAACTCTCCCCAAACTGCAGCCTGTTCGCCACCACACCCTTTCTTATCGTGCATGGAGGCAAGTGTAACACTTTCGAAGCAAGAAATGGGAAAGGGATACAATCATTTCAGCAGACGCCCTCTGAGCAGTGGAGCTGCAGGAGGGGCTGGTGACAGACCTATCGCTGCTCCCCAGCCGGCCCTGCGTCCGTCCGGGGAGGAGCGGAGTCCTCTCTCCTGCTCCTCCAGGGAGGGCGGGGACCGGAGGCAGGAACACGGGCCTCCCAGTGAATTAGCTCCACCTCCCATGCCCTGGGCTTGGAGGCACAGGCGCCTGGCCCTGTTCACAGCTGTTACTGGTTTCACTTCGCGTTTGGCTCTGTTTCCATGTACGAAGGTCACAATGCAAACTCAATTGAAAGCCATCGTTTTCTTTAATTCGGTTTAAAGTCTCCAGTGTGACGCAGCCTTCTTTCACTGCTTTTGCTGAACAGCTGTGTGTGTCCGGGGAGGAAGGGGGCAAAGCAGCAGGGGCAGCTAGGACAGGCTGCGTGGGGGCGGATGGCTGATGGCTGGGTGTGCCCTGGCTGGAGGGGAAGGGAGAGGGGGCACCAGCAGTGGGGGCATGAAGCAAGGTATGGGCAGCTGGGGAGACAGGGAGGTGCGCTTCAGTGAGAAAGTGCTCAGGCACCTGCCCTGTGTCGCCCAGCACCGCCCTGCCCTTCCCGGGGCCAACTCCAGCCAACATTCACACTCCTCCCAAGAAAAATCAGAAGTAGAGGTTAAATGACGCCACGTGAGGGGTTTGTTTTTTTCTAGAATTATGAAACATGCTAAAATCTCAGAGTGGCCGTTCCACTTCTGTCCCGATTCCACAGTGGGGCAGGTAGGCGCTCAGGGATCACCTGTCTACGAGGCCTCTGGGGAGCTAGATGTGGGGTTCCGGGCAGGCAGGCAAGCACTGCCCAGGAGTCCTTCCCCAGCACTCTCCCTGGCAGCAGCCTGTCCTCAGAGATCCCTCTCACCCACATCTACACCCACCCCATTCCCCTGTCCTGCCCTGCCCTGCCCTGTCCCAGCCTTGATGGTGAGGGCCATACCCTTTGCTTTGCCCAGGCCCCTGCGTTCCTTGGGACTCATGTACTCAGCAGGCACTGATGTGGAAGCTGCTGTCCCGGTGTCCCAGGGGCAGGGGGCTCCTGTCCCCACCGTGGCTTGGCACAGAGCAGCAAGTGGAGGTGGCAGTGCAGAGGGTGTGAGGGGGATGTTACCTGAAGTTGTGACTGCTGTAAGGACAGGCAGACAATGAGTATTCCCCCCACCATGCACCCTACTCTGAAGACTTCCCCTCCCTTCCACATGAGGGGGGGCTCATCCTCAAAGCCTCTTTCTTCCACTTCAACTTCATGGGGCAGAGGTACCGGTTAAGGAGGCTTATTCCAAGGAGAAGCTGGCAAGTGGCTGCCAGCTGAATTCTTCCCCTTTCCCTCTTGCCTCATGCTCTGCTGCGTGATGACTTGAGGGGCCACAGAAAATAGCAGATACGGTCAAACTTGCCCTAATGAGGGGCTAGCAGGGTGAGAAACCTTTCTGCCGAGGGCCATGTGGATATTTATAGCATCGTCATGAGCCACACAAAACTATCTACTGAGACATTAGCCGCTGTATTTGGTCAAACATTTGACTCGCCCCTGAGGCCTTGGCCAGACCAAATAAATGATTTTGTGGACCTCACAGCCCGAGGGCCAGATATTCCCCACCCTGGGATAGAGGGACAGGGCGACAAAGGTACATGGAAGTCAGCGCTGTGGAGTGTGGGCTGGGGAGGGCGAGGCTGGCATTCAGGAGCTGGGGTCCTTTTTCCTCTTCTGGAATCGCCGGAACTTGCCCTGAATGGCCAGGGCAGCTTTCTCCGTCTCTGGCGCTGACAGGTCGATGTCCACCTCCTCCTCCTCCTCCCCCTCAGCCTTCTTGGTGTTGCCAGCTTCCCCTGCAGGTGGGTGAGATTCCCAAGTGAGTGACCTGCATCGCCCAGCCCGTCTCCAGACCCCAAATGCCCCAGGTCAAGCCCACTCCCTGCGGCCTCTGCGTGCTCGGCCTCTGCTAGCACTCAGCAAGCCAAGTGTCGCTCCTGAAGGCAGGGACCAGGCCCATGGAACTCCACTGCGCCTGCACCAAGACACAGGCGTCCTCTCCCACCTGTCCCCGAACCGATAGTCCCACCCAGAGCTCATCCTGCTCCCTGTCCCTCGGCTTCCCACTGAGACCGCGGCTGCAAGCCCTGATTAGTTCCTTCCTGTCTTGGGCTGTCTCCTCCACTCCAGAGCCCGCTTCTAAGATCAGCCGAGACCGGTTTGGCTCAGTGGATGGAGCATCGGTCTGCGGACTGAGGGGTCCCAGGTTTGATTCCGGTCAAGGGTATGTACATTGGTTGCGGGCACATCCCCTGTAGGGGGTGTGCAAGAGGCAGCTGGTCGATGTTTCTCTCTCATCAATGTTTCTGGCTCTCTGTCTCTCTCCCTTACTCTCTGTAAAGAATAAAATATATTAAAAAAAAAAAGAAAAAGAAAAAGAAAGTTGTAAGATCAGAGAGTAAACACTAGAAAGTGTCCTTGGTGAAAAGTGGCAGGAAGCCTGTAAGCAGTAGTTCTAACCCAGTGCTTTGTTCCCTTATCCCGGCTCAGGGGCCCCAACTGCCAGCCGGCCTGTCTTCAAGTCCAGGCCTCACCTGCTCTGAACGGCCCCCCTCCCTCCGCCCCACTCACCCTTCTCCTCGGGGCCGGGGGCCTGGCTGGCTGCTGGGGACGCTTGGGTGTTGAGCTGGGAAAGAAAATCCAGAATATTAGACATTCATGGCAGCCGCATGGTGCGTCCCCTCAGACGCACCGTCGTCACATCCCAGCCCTCCTCATGGGGGCGCGTCCCCTAGTCTTTGGAAACGTGGGTTTTGAGGTCAGAAAGGTAGAAAGTCATCAGAATCCAGTCCACAGGTGCTGATTGGTGCCAGGGAAATTGCAGAGGACAAAACCTCGCCCTTGTGAAGTTCACATTTGTATAAAGATTAATAAAACGGCCCGTGGCCGGGCGGCTCAGCTGGCTGGAGGTTATCTGTGCACCAAAAGGTCATGGGTTTGAGTTCTAGTCAGGGCTCATGTCCAGGTACCGGGGGATCCCCAGTTGGGGTGCAACTGGGAGGCACTGATTGATGGGATGTTTCTCTCTCCCTAAAATTAATAAAAACACATCCTTGGGTGAGGATTTAAAAATCAAAGTAAAACAACACAGGTATTATGTCTGGTGCTAAGTGCTACAGAGAAAAAGCAAGGAAGGGAGCTAGGGGTGCCAGTGGATGTGGAGAACTACAGCTCCACACCCAGCCCACACCCAGTGGGGGCTGAGGGAGAGCGGAGTTAGGGTGTAGCATCCAGGCCAGAGCTCTCAGGAGCCTGGGGGTAGGTGGGAGGGCCGGGGCAGGTGACTGGCCTGTGTGAGGGACATGGCTGGAATGGAGAGAGAAAGGAGGGAAGGGTGTGGAGAGAGAAAGGAGGAAAGGGTGAAGAGAGGAAGGAGGGATGGGTATGGAGAGGAAGGAGGGAAGGGTGTGGAGATAGAAAGGAGGGAAGGGTGTGGAGAGAGGAAGGAGGGAAGGGAGTGGAGAGAGGAAGGAGGGAAGGGAGTGGAGAGAGGAAGGAGGGATGGGTGTAGAGAGAGGAAGGAGGGATGGGTGTGGAGAGGAAGGAGGGAAGGGTGTGGAGAAAGGAGGGATTGGTGTGGAGAGAGGAAGGAGGGAAGGGTATGGAGAGGAAGGAGGGAAGGGTATGGAGAGGAAGGAGGGAAGGGTAGAGAGAGGAAGGAGGGAAGGGTGTGGAGAGAGGAAGGAGGGAAGGGTGTGGAGAGAGGAAGGAGGGAAGGATGTGGAGAGAGGAAGGAGGAAAGGGTATGGAGAGGAAGGAGGGAAGGGTATGGAGAGAGGAAGGAGGGAAGGGTGTGGAGAGAGGAAGGAGGGAAGGGTGTGGAGAGAGGTAGGAGGGAAGGGTGTGGAGAGAGGAGGAGGGAAGGGTGTGGAGAGAGGAGGAGGGAAGGGTGTGGAGAGGAAGGATATAAGGGTATGGAGATGAGCAGAGATAAATGGGTGCTGGGCAGTTTCTTAGGTCCTTACAGGTCTTTCTAAGGAGTTTACTTTTACTACAAGTGAGAGGGGATGGCATTCAATTGGCATAAAAGGGCCTGTGAGAGGAAGCAGAAACAACTGCAGAGGTTGTTGCAGAAAACCAGGTGAGAGTAGTCAGCCTGAGTTGGCATGGTGGCATGGGAGGTGGTGAGCTGTGGTTTGATTCTAGGTATATTTGCAAGCTATAAGCAATGTGATTGGTCGACTGATTGATTGGATAAGAGACACTGCAAGAGAGAAGTCAAGGATAACATCCAAAGAATGCCATTTGGCCTGAGGAACTTTAAAAGATGGAGTTGCCACTTCCCAAGATGGAGGAGTCTCAGGAGGAGCCTGAGAGGGTCAGGAACTTCTCTTGGACAATCTGAGATGCCCATTAATGATCCCCGAGGAGAGGGGTTACAAGCCTTTGGGTATTGGAGATGAGGTAGCGAGAAGCGTCCGCCCTGCAGAGAGAAATGAGCAGCTATCCACAGTGGATGGCGTTTAAAGCCAGGAGACTGGATGAACCACCAAGGGTGAGTTCATACAGAGTAGACAGAGAAAAGGGTCAAGTCCTGGAGTATTTAGTGATTAGAGGTTACAGAAATGAGGAAAAATCAATAAAGAAAATGGAAAAGGGAGGATCCAAGATGGTGGCTTAGGTAAACACACCTAAACTGCTGCCATGCACAACAATTTCTTTTTTTTTTTTTTTATTGTTCATATTATTACAAATGTTCCTTTTTTCCCCCCCCACCATTGCTCTCCTCCACCATGTTCCCACCCCACCCTCTGCCCTTTCCCCACTCCCCATTGTCCTCATCCATAGGTGCACAGTTTATGTTCAGTCTCTTCCCACGCCCCCTCTCCCCTTTTCCCCAAGAATCGTCAGTTCACTCCCCTTCCATACCTCTGATTCTGTTATATTCAACAGTTACTATTGTTCATCAGATTTTTTTTTAATTTCCTTGTTTTTTAGATTCACTTGTTGATAGTTACGTATTTGTTGTTCATAATTTTTATTTTTGTTTACTTTCTCTTCTGAAAGAACCCTCTTCAGCAATTCATATAATTCTGGTTTGGTGTTGATGAACTCCCTTAGATTTTTTTTATTAGTGAAGCTCTTTATCTGACCTTCGATTCTGAGTGATAGCTTTGCTGGATAGATTATCTTTGGCTGTAGGTTCTTACTATTCATCACCTTGAATATTTCTTGCCATTCCCTTCTGGCCTGCATGGTTTCTGTTGAGAAGTCAGCTGACAATCGTATAGGTGCTCCTTTATAGGTAACTACCTGCTTTGCTCTTGCTTCTTATAATATTCTCTCTTTGTCTTTTGCTCTTGGAATTTTAATTATGATTTGTCTTGGTGTGGTCCTCTTTGGATTCCTTTTGTTTGGAGTTCTGTGCGCTTCCTGGACTTGTAAGTCTAATTCTTTCCCCAGGTGGGGGAAGTTTTCTGTCACTATTACTTTCAGTATGTTTTCGATATCTTGCTCTCTCTCATCTTCTGGGACCCCCATAATTCTGATGTTGGTTCGCTTGAAGTTGTCCCAGAGGTTTCTTACATTATCTTCAATTTTCTGGATTCTCTTGCCTTCTAGCTTCTGCGGAGGAGTGTCTTCTGGCTCTTTATGTTCCAAATCTTTGACTTGATTCTTGCGATCTTCCCTTCTGTTTTTAGGACTCTATAAAATATTTTTTATTTCAGACAATGTATTCTTTATTTCTTGTTGATCCCTTATCATTTCTTGTTGACTCCTTATTAATTCTAGTTGATTTCTTTTCATATCCTCATAGGTCTTATCCATCTTTTCTAGGAAATTCTTGAAAAACCTTATAAGTGTAGATTTGAACTCTATATCCAGCCGCTTATTGTCCTCCATTTCTTTCGTTTGTGATCTATTTGGTTGTTGCATTTCGCAGCTACAGATGGGGCGGAGTTTCAGGGTGGAGCCTGCAGCCTTGGCTTCCGTCAGCCCCGCCCTATGCGGGTCCTTCAGTGCTCGCTGCGGGCCCCTTTGAGAGAAAGGTGCCCTCGATTTTCGCCTGCTGCCAAACAGTCTAGTCTCTCCCCCAATGAGCCCGGTATTGGGGTTCAGTTCAGTTGGAAGTGGAGTTGGAGGTGGCGTTCAGAGCAGTCCGGAGCTCCACTCTCCTTCCCGCCAGGCAATCCCGCGGCACAGCCGGCCGTCCCTTCTCTGCGCGCACTGTGCGCTGCCGCCGGGACCTCCTTTCACTGCTTCCCCGGGTTCTGCCTTACAGCCCGGCTTCCCTATGGCTAAGCCTGGGTCCCCGGGGTCTGGCCTAGGCCTGGGGTTCAGCAGTCGGGGGCCCAGCACAGTCGGAGTTTTTATCTCCTTCCCGCCAGGGAACGCCAGCCAGGCAGTCAGCCGCCCTCCTCTCCGGCTCCGTCCTCTCCGCGCGCCGCATGTCTCCGTACCTCGGGCTTTTACAGCTCCTCTGCGCTTCCTTCTGGTTTTCTCCTTGCTTCTCGTTGTAGAATTTCCAGTCAGTCAACTTTCCTGTAGTTCTGGGTAATGTCCATTTTATATTTTAGTTGTATTTTATTGAAATTGTTGCGTGCGGCTGCAGCTAGGTATTCACCTGGGCGCAGCCATCTTTGAAAAGCCCCATGCACAACAATTTCAAAACTACAACTAAAAGACAAAACGTCTATCACCCAGAACCATGGGAAAGCTGGCTAAAAGGAAGCTCTACAACTAGACTGAAAGAGAAAGGAGCATTCAGGACACAAGCGCTGAAAAACTGAGGTACAGGGTTGCACGCTTCATACAGGCTGGCGGTGGGTGTTGCTTTCTTCAACCCAAAGAGACAAGCTCCCAGTCTCTCTGAAATCCAGTTTCTGGAGAGAAGCTAGACTGTCTGCCATCAGATCGGAAAGTTAGGGGGTTGGGGCTTGCTTGCAGAGCTGCATGCAAGAATAATAGTTTGCTATGCCGGGGCACGAGATCCGGGACACAGAGAGGCAGAGACTGCTGACTGGCAGCCATTGCTGTTTGCCAGGCCCTAGCCTAGTGACGCCCTGAGACTCCGCCCCACACAATCTACAAACCCACCAAGCTCCAAGCAGTGGCTTTTGCAGTTTGACCTAGCAAACTTGCAACCTGGTACAGACAGCTCCAAAGCCTCCAAGCTCTGAGCAGGGAGGAGAGGACTATGGTTCTCGTGTAGCTCCTGCAGGGTGGCCTCAGACAGTAGCTGAACTGCACCCCATTGGAGATCCAGAAGCCAGTGTATATAATGGTCAGTGTCAGACACCAGGCTTCAACTCCTCACATCCATAAGTGACACATTTGGGAGGCAGACCAGTCAGAAATTAAGCATACCATGTCTGAAATAAAGAATATACAGAAACTCAACTGTAGATCAATGTACCTCAAGAGACAAACCAAAGATCTGGAATATGAGGAAACAAAAAATACCTAACCAGAGAGGCAGAAAGAAAGAAGAATCCAAAAGTGGACCCTCTATCCCTCTCCCTTCCTCTCTGTAAGAAAAAAATCAATTTATATATATATATGAGAAAATAGAGCCGAAACCAGTTTGGCTCAGTAGATAGAGCATTGGTCTGCGGACTGAGGGGTCCCAGGTTTGATTCCGGTCAAGGGCATGTACATTGGTTGTGGGCACATCCTTGGTGGTGG